CCAAATGTTGGCAAACAAGGCCAGTTACCCCTCCGTCTACCCAGCCTGTCTCTCTGCCCCTCAAGACTGAGAACACCTGTGCCCAGAAGTGTCCATTTCCCTAGTCCCATAATCACTTTGGATTCCAGCAGAGCCTCATATGACTGAAGGAGCCCTTAAATCATGAGGCTACCTCCACGGGAACCAAACTGACCCCAAGTCATGAGGAGACAAACTGAGCTACAAAAACATGAACTGGACCTAAGCCCACTACAAGTACCTCACAAAACTGTGCCCTGGCTTTAGTGATGGGTGGTCTAAGCCTCTTCACCAATGTGCCCCCTCCTGCTTACTAAACAGCTGGAGTCTTTTTTTCATCTTCTCTCACCTTGCATTTAAAGCTTTTGCATCATATAAATCCCTGCTGTCACTTTAGTTTCCATTTCCATTGCCATTTAAGGAAGGACCCATTCTAGCCTGCAACATGGAGGCCAGGAGGGCACATAGGTCAGGAGGCAGCCAGGGCTACAGGAACCTCCATATCCAAGGAGGGCCCTTGACATCCACGAAGCTCCTGGGTAATTTTAATGGAATATAAAGTGAAGAAAGAAGAGTTTGGATGTCAGTGTTATGATCTGGATATGAAGTACCCCCCAAAGGCTCATGTTTTGAGGTGTTCAGAGGTGGAACCTAGAGAGTTGATTGGATCCAGTGTTGACCTCTTGAATGGATGAGTTCATAGCTGAATGGGCTATTAGCAGGGGGCCTCCTAATGTTGTGGCTTATGTTCAATGCCCCCCACAAAGTCCCATGCTCTCATTGGTGGGCTCTTGGGAGTGACTGGATCATGGGTGTACAATACTAGATTAGTCCACTGATTGGTTTAGCATAGTTCTGGGGATCGGTAATGGATTTAGCAAAGAGGGAAGATCCACTCTGGGTGTGGGTTGAAACCAGGGTAGATGGAGTAAGAAGATAAAGAAGTCCTGTTGCTTCCTGCCTGCCCTGCCATGAATTCCTTTGCCATGTCCTTCTGCCATGCTGCCCTGGCTTGCAACCAGCTGACTATAGACTGAAACCTCTATGAACTGCGAGCTAAAATAAACCTTTCCTGCTTTAAGTTGTGGGTGTTGGGTATTTTATCCCAGCAATGAGAAAGTAACTAAGAGAAAATCTTATCCCAGCTCCTTCCTCTCTGGCTCTTTCCCTCTGTCTGCTGCTTCTTGGCTGCCATAAGGTGAGTAATTTTGCTGTCACATTTTTCTTTCTTTTTTGGTACTGAGAATCAAACTCAGGACCTTGTGCTTGCCAGGTGGGTGCTGTGTCATACTTTTCTGCCATGAAATTCCTGCCTTGGAGCCAGCTAACCATGGACTGAACCCTCTGAAACCATGAGCCCCCCAAATCTTTCATCCTTTGAATGGTGTATGTCAGGTATTTTGTCCCAGTGACAGGCAGGTGACTAACCCAGTGTCTTTGGACTTCAGTTTTCATAGTGAAGAAGATTTCACCACAAATTTGTATTTGTTTTTGAGGTAAGAAACATGTGGTTGGAGGGTGTTCCCATTGTTCAAATATGGGGCAGTTTTCTTATTTTACTCATCACGGGGTATCTGAGGAGTCTTGGGGAGACAGATGCTGGAGTAAAACATGAGGGGGAACAGGCCTCATGGGGGATGCGCTCTGAGTGCCAGGAGCTACGTGGATGATCACACCTGCACTGCACTGGTATCACCTGGTGCTAGTGGGGACACAGACCAATGGGTCCCCAAGAGCTGCCAATTCAACAGATGTCATGAATGTGCATTTCTACACCTGGGCTGTGTGGTCCCCATTCTGAGAACCCTGATCTACAGGTGGCCCTTTCTAGGGGCCATAGCAAGGCCCCAGCCTTGTTCTCTAGTGACACCTAAGGGAGCTGTGGCCATCTAGGAAGGGGCTTCCTGAGTCAAGGCTGGATGCCCTTTTTGGGGTGATGGCCACACCCCTAGATGCCTGCAAGGCTTGCCAGCAGCCCAAAGGCTGAGAGGAGAAGGTTGAGACGTCTCTTGAGAGCCTGATCTGAGACCCCTTTTCCTCTACTCTGCATCTTGGTCCCAAGCCTGGAGACTTTCCCACTTGACCTATGCGTCCCCCTCCCCCATGGGACAGGTGGGGACTCAGTGGATAAGGTCAGTAACCTCACTGAATTAGCCAGGGGAGAGGTCGCTGTGACTGGCAGTATTGTGCTTCATGTCATCAGGGCCTTCCTGTTCCTTAATGGAACGAACCACCCCCACCTTGCATGCCTTCTGGACTCTACGTTAGCTCACACAAGGGCAGCCAAGACCCAGCAGTACAATAGCTAATCACTTTCCTACCTGGTTCCTGTGTCCGTTCTCAATGGCTTACAACTTGGAAGGAGGCCAGGTGGATGGTTAATCCCCAGATCTCCAGTGTACCTTTGTTTCTGTCTATAACATGTTGGGGAAGACAACAAGGTTTCTGGCATCTCACACTCTTGAGGTGTGGCCCGTGCAAACCTGGATCTTCTGGAGTATGACTAGGACCCAGGGAAAAGGACTTACGAAGCCTGGGTCAAGGGAGGAGCAGGAAGGAGTCGGGGAAGGCTTCTGGGAGGAGGTGACAATGCAGTGGTGGAATCCAGACAGCACAGCACCAAGAAAGGCATGAAGGTGAAGGTATATTGGGGACATGGGGACTGTCCAGCTTGGCTTCCAAAGGAAAGACTGGGCTATTTGCATGTTCTTCCTGTCTGGGCTTTATCATACTGCAGAGCCCCAGAGGCTTCTGGGAGTAACACTGGAATCACTTTGGTTCTCAGGGAGCCAAGTAATGTCATCCAAATGGGAGCACCTCTGAGAGCAAAGGCGATCTATTAATTAGTCAGGGACAACTGCCATGAGTCTGTGTCATGGGTGAGCCCAGGGCCACTCCCAACTTGGGGTCATTTCTTTAAGGGTGGGGAGACCCCAGTAGACACTGTCAGAGGCCGGGAATGTGGGTTTTCCTGAGCAGCCTCTTTGAGCCTCACTTTTCTCTGTAAATGGGAGTCAGTGTTTCCTGCCTCACCGTCTCTGAAGCTCTAGGAAGGACAGGGACTCTGAGAGGAGGAGGAATGAACCCCATGCCTTACACCCCCAGTGGAAGCGCCTCGAGCCCATAGCCCCTGCCCAGGCATCTCCACCGAGCAGACCGGCCCTGGAATCAAATCCCTGGACAGTCAACAAATCATCCCAATTTCCTGATGTCTGTAGATTCTGGGTTAGAAAACATTCAGATTCATTGCTTGGAGAATTTGCTGTCTCCTGGGCCTGGTTCTTGTAGTTTCTTCTAAGTTTCAGAGCATTTTGTTTAAAAAGGAGAATTTCTGACAGCAGTGTTTTCCCTTACATTTATGCGAGGTTTTACAGTTTATAAAGAAGTTCACGTAGTAATGATACCGATCATTGCTATGAGATATTGAGTTTCCGCTGGGTGGGGCCTCGATGAAGCCCGGAAAACTGCTCCATTTCCACAGACCCGAGAAGCGGAACTCAGGAGAAGTCAAGGGGCTTGTCTGAGGCCACACAGCCTTGGGAAGAAGCAGTGCGGGGCTGAAAGCAGCTCCAGCTGCTCCCAGAGGCTGTGCTTGCCTGCTCTCTCCTGCTCAGCCTTCGACCTGACCTACACGCATCCATCGGCAGATAGACTGAGAAAAGCTGAGACCAAACCAAACCAGAGCCTTGTGCAGGAAACAGTCTGGGGCTGGAATAAACGTAACAATAACCAGGTGTGTCTGAGGGAATCCTCGAGTCCCCACACAGTATGTTTTGTGCTGAGATTGTTTTTGTAGTGATGCAGGTGTGGAGGGAACATTTGGGCATGGGCAGGGTACTCGCATTCAAAGCTCTAATTCTGTGCTGTCTAAAGCTGCCAGGAACCTCACGCGGCTATTTAAATTTAATTAAAATGAAATCAAATTTAAAAATTTAGTTCCTCAGTCACACTTGTGACATTTTAAGAGCTCCGTCTCCACCTTCAGCTGCCCTACTGGACAGCGTGAATCTGCAGAAGTCCCCCTGGGCAGCTTTGTTCTGAGCCTCCGCCACCTGCTTTCTTCTTGTCCTGGCGGAGGGGGAGCCGAGGTCACAGGTGGCAGGCACACCTGTTCCGGGATCAGTGCCCCTGCAGGCTGGGCATATAGATGGTGCACCAACACCTGAGCCCCTCTCCGCCACTCTGGATCAGCTCCAGCTCCAGGGACACAAATAAAAGGCAGGAAGCAAAGGAGGAGCCACTTATAGAGGCCTCTGTACTCAGAGTGTGGTCCCGGGACTGCAGCACCGGTGTCCCCGGGGAGCTTGTTAGAAAAGCAGAACCTTGGGCTCCGCGCCAGACCCGCTGGATGTGAACCTGCATTTTTAACGAGGTCCCCAGGAGATTCATGTAAGTATTCAAGCTTGAGGAGCTCTGGCTTAAGAGACAGGCTGAGCAGGATCAAACTAAGGCTCCAAATATAGGAAACCAAACAGGTATTCTCAGAGGCAAGGAACAGCCTCAGTACCCCACCCTGGCAGCCTGAGTATTTGCACTAGTCACAGAGAGCCTAGAGCTCGGTGTCACGTGAACAATGAAGACTTCCAAGGCCACACCTGCCACCCCCCAGGGGCTTACTGTCTCCCAAGGCAAAGGGGGCAGAAGGAAGTGTCTTTTTCTTGTAGGGAGCATACTATAGAATGAACCCAGGGTCTTTTCACTGAGCCACAACCTCAGATTTCTTTCAATTTTTATTTTGAAATAGTCTTGCAAAGTTGTGTGGGCTGGGCTCAAACTTGTGATCCTCTTGCTTTAGCCTCTCATGTTTCTTTCTTGTTTTGTTTTGAGACAGGGTGTCTTTGTGTAGTTCAGGCTGGTTTTGAACTCGCTGTGTGACCCAGGTTGGCCTCAAGCTCATGACAGTCCTCCTGCCTCAGCCTCCAAAGGTGTGCGCCACCACACCTGGCTCACTTGCTTTCTTTTTCCTTTTTTATTTTGCAGGAGTTGGGTGGGATCAAACCAGGGCCTCGAGCAAGTGAGGCGATTCTACCGCTGAGCTGGGTCCCCAGCACTTTCAAAATCTTTTTTAAAAATTTGAGACAAGGTCTTGCTAAGTTGCCAAGGTTGGGCTTGAACCCAGTCCTCCTGCCTCTGCTTCCCCAGTAGCTGAGATTACAGGTATGTGCTACTGTGCCTGGCTGACAACCATACTCTGAGCTCATGCTGCTGCCTTTAAATCAGCTTTCACAGTTTTACTTTTCTCCCTGTTGCATTTGGTGAGTGTGAATACATGCACAATCACTTAACCAGAGCACCTGGAGCAGAACTTGCCTCTCCCTGGGGGTGTGCCACTCAGCAGGGCTCAGGCCTGGAGCCAGGTGGCAGTGAAGGTTTTGGGGAAGGAACCAGTATCAAGCCCATGGATGGAGAAAGCAGGTGCGAACGGTAGTTCCATTGTTGGCTTCAAATGAGGCCAGCAGCTGTGCTGAGCGGCTGGGAAGGGGAGGCGGCTGCAGGGGAGGCTGAGGTTTGGAGGCTGAGCGCAGCTCTCTCCTGCCTTCAGGGTGGATGACTCAGCCCTTCCTGCCGCTCTCCGCTCTGCCTACCTAGGGCCTTGCTTATTTTTATCCCTGGCATGGAGTTAAATTGCCGAAAGGATGACACTTCTCCACCTGCAAGGGCCCTCCTGGAGGACAACTTTTAAAATATTCATTTTTACAAGTTGTTCCCAGCGATAAAGCAGAGGAGAAGGATGCTGGGGAAAGGGAGGGGGACAGCGGCTCGGGCCCAGCAGGGAGCCTGGGGCCTTGCGGAACTGCACAATGGCTTTGACAGGAGGCGATTCTAGGAGTGGATACTCAGGAAATAACTGGACAAGGGTGAAATGCTGAACCTCGTTACTCTTTATGATGCGGGTGAGATCGAAGCAGACCACAGCACTGTCTTCCTCTCCAGCATGCACCCTGCCCCTTCTTTTGGTACCAAACCTCATTTTACCTCCTGGAAATAGCCCATCACCTACTGCACAGGATTTTGGTGGATCCGTCAATCAAGATGTTGGCCCTGACCTTGGCTAGAGACAAGCTTGTGACCCAGGCCAGGCTACATGGAAAGGAGATATAGCAGGATCTGGAAACTTTGGATCCAGCCATGCTCGGGCCATTGTCTGGTCCTTGCAGTATCTATGGCCACCAAATCCTTTTTCTGGTCTTTTCTGTCTCTTTTTTTCCCTTCCTTCCTTTCCTGCCTCTTTCTTCCTTTCTTTTGTTACTCATCCTCTTCTCTCTCTCCCTCTGTCTCTGCCTACTCTCTCTCCAGTATTGAGGATTTGCACTAAGCTAAATCTCCAGTGCTTTTAAAATTGTTAATTTTGAGACAAGCTCTTGCTAGGCCATTAAGTTGCCTAGAATACACTCAAACTCACCATCCTTCTGTCTCAGCCACCAGGAGTTCTGGGATTACAGGGGTGTGTCACCAAGCCTGGCTTCTGGTCCTTCTTGAGATCTGGCTGTTTACTCTTTGCTGAGATTCCAAGGGCCATGCCATAGCATTCCCTTCTTTTTTTGCTTATAGAGAATTGGTTTGGTTTCCATTATCTGTAACTGTCAAACTGGTTTCAACCCAAATGCCCAGCAACAGGGGCTTAGATCAACAAAGTATGATACAGCACACAATGGAATACTACACAACCAGGTACAGTGATGACATAAACATATATTTGTTGACATGGAAAGAGTTTCACAATATATAGTTAAATGCAAAAGCAGATTATAAGAAAACAGTATGCATAGGATGATACTGTGTTTGCAAAATATATATTCTACATATTCATAGAAAAAGGTCTAGAATAAAATATAACAGTATTCATTCCAGAAAGTAGGATGGCAGATGATTTTTTTCTGCTCATATCAACTTCCTGGTCTTCCTGCCTTATTTGTGTGGTGCATTTTTTGTTTTAAGTGTATGCAGGGATTGCAGAAGCCCATGGCCCTGATGCCCAGCAATCACTCAGAGACTTATTTACTGAATGCTGGGATTCCTGCTACAGGGGGCATACACCCACAGCTCTGCTCAAGGAGATTCTGTCTAAGCCTCCAGAACAAGGAAGCAGCAGCTCCTGCAACCCCAGAGCACTTGGAGCACCCCACTTATTCTCACAGTAACCTCAGGAGGTATAAGATCTCCCTCTGCTTGATGAGGAGCCCAGAGAGATGAGGTGAGCTGCCTGGGTTCACCCAGCAGGGATTTAAAAGCCTGGTCATCGGCCCAGAGCCCCAACACCCTGAGAACTACTGAAGTTCAGGACCAGAGCAGAAGCAGCGGGGCAGGGTAAGGGCTCAGCATTACCCTGCGACTTCAGCAGTGTGGCCAAGCGCCTAGTGTGGGTGGGGGCGAGGTCCTTGCCCTGGAGATGGCCTCTGCTTTCAGGCCTTCCACCAGGCAGCAGCAGGCACTGGGGGGAAGGAGAGGTTCTGGACTTGGGGGATGCTCGTCAGGTCACCTGCTCGGAGAAATCCTCCCTGACCCCTAAGAAAGATCCTGACCATTGCTGGCCCAGCCCCATCTGTTGTCTCCTTTGTAGCATCTCCTCAACAGGTGGCCGTTTCATCTATCTGCAGGTTACCCATATCATCTTTCTCTCTTTTACTTTTTTGTCTTTTTTTTTTTTTAATTGGTACCGGGGATCGAACTCACGACCGCCTGATTGCAAAGCAGGTGCTTATGCCGCTGAGCTAAACTCCCAGCCCCCTTTTGTTGTTTTTTTTTTTACTTTGTTGTCTTTTTTTTTTTTTTTTTCATCTGTCTCTCTTGACTTCAAGGCTTATGACTGTCGCTCTCAGCTGTGTCCCTGGCTCTGAGCCCAGCATCTGGTCCACTGCAGGTGCTCACCAAGCATCTGTTGGATGATGGAGTGGATGAACAAAGGACTCTGGTGGTCAGGAAACCCAGGGGGAGGCTCATCTCTGCCTTCTACTGGCTGCATGGCTTAGGCATGGCCTCTGGGCTTCTTCCAAGCCTCAACCTGAGCATAACTCCAACTCCATATCTAATGGATTGGCCTCATACTTCCTGAATACATCAGACAACTGAATGGGAAGGAAAAGAATTTGGAATTGTTTAGTAAATTATACCTTAAATAAATCAACTGCCAGTTGGGTCTTCTTTCTGAGGATCACATTGCAGTGGGTTCCCGAGGAGTCATTGGTGTGCAATAAGCCCAATCTTATTCCTTATTCAATAAATTCCTTTATTCTAGTTCACATACTTTTCCATTACAATGATGAAAATAGCACTAGTGATTTGTAACACTGAGGCCCAAATCAAAGGGGAACCCCTCCTCCAATTATATGGTAAATGACACATAATTGAACGTAAATGGTGAGCAGAAACGTATTAAAAATATAGATAATAAGGGTCCAGGTGGTGTGTGCACAAACACGTTAAGGTCCTTGATTAAGCTGGCTCCATTTTAGAAAGTACATGATTTTTGAAAACTATATTTATGTATTATTTATTTTTGGTACCAGAAATTTAAAAAAACCAACTATTTATAATAGTAATAAACCTCAACTGTGCAGAAAAGGCAAAATCAAGCAAAAACAAAAATCCCCAAACCAAAAGGAAGTGAATCAAACACCTAAAATCAATATGCAAACCTCTGGTCCTTTGGCCCTGGAATGGCAGGTGAGTGGGTTTTGTAGAAATTCTCTGTAGAAAGGAATGTTTGGGCCGGCACCGCTGTGGCCCTTGTTTGACGTCACTACATCTCCCAGTCCTGTCTCCTCACAGAGGAAAAGAAGTGGCTTGTCTGACACCTCTGTCCAGGGTCTGCCCAGGATGGGGCTCGAGTTCCCAATCTCTTTGGGAAGAGTTCCGAATCCTGGAAAGGCAAGGCATCCCTGGGGCACCCCAGTGGCAGGGGTCAGGGTCAGTGTTGGTGCCAAGCTTGGCTGGCGCTGTCCGAGTGGTTCACGGGCAGTGGATGGGCCTCTGTGTTGAACACCCAGTCTTCCAGCGAGAAAGTGTCATCTTCAGAGAACAGAAGATAGAGGTATCTGCAGCCAGGAGGCGGGGAGCAAGATGCAGCTGTCAGTGCTGGGAAAAGGTGGGCCTGGGACCCTCAGGGCCTATGGCTAAGGCAGGGGCTGGGACCTGACTAATATTCAGAGGCTGGTTCCAGGGAAGGACACTATGGATGCCCAGGTCAGTACTGAGCGCTGGGGTCAGAGGGACCTGTTTACTCCTGGCTCTGCCTGGGCCCCTACTCTTTGCATCCTGCAATCTCACCTGCCTGTGCCTTCAGGGAGGCGTGCTGGGACCTTAGAGGACCCTGACTCTCCTCCTTTGTAGGGCAGCCTGAGGTTGGCCCCTGTCCAAACCCTGACATGCACTCCTTAGAGTTCACCCTCCAGCGCACCTTAGGATGCCACAGCGCTGCGGTTGTGACTCCCGGACTCTAACTTTGGGGCAGGGGGCTTTTCTGGGAGGAACCATGCTAGAGAAAGCTCAACGGCTTGCTTTGGGGGAGTAGCAGTGAAATGAGGTGCTATCTCCCAGCCCAGGAAAACCAGGGAGCCACGCTGCAGAGCCATGTGGATCTCGCCATTGTCATTATTACTCCCATCTGACAGAGGACAGGATTCTAGGAAACCCAGGCAGCTGAAGCACAGCCTGAAGGAGCCACAGGGTTGCATAGCCAGGACTGAGGGGCTAGATTCCAGCTCAGCCTCACTCTGCAAGGGGAAAAAGGGTGAGCCCTCTGGGTCCCCAAGCCTGTCCCTGGTGGGCTCCTGTCCTGTGACTGCAGAGCCTGGCTGTTGTGGGGAACCCACCCTGCACTTACTTCAACGTCTCGGCTAGAAAGAAGCTCTGCTGTTTGTTGTCGTGGTTGGGCCTGGTGCTGTACACATCCTGGATCCCCGAGAAGCCAGCGTCTGTCCGGCAGTACTTCTCCAAGGCCTGTGAAGAGGAAGGTAGCACAAGCAGGTGAGGAAAAGCTCCTCAAGCCTTGGCCGGCTAGTGGCTGAGTTCACCAATAGAGAGTGCGCGGTTATCACTTCTCTGCCTTTTGGATGAATCTGTGGGCTGGGCACATGACATGTGACCTTTGAAGGGCAAGTCAAGGAAGCAGGGGCACTAGACAGAGAGCCAGGTCTGAATCTGAGCACCCCCTACCCCCTGCATGTGGCCTTCCCAGGACAGTCGCTGGTGCCTTGAGAACAGGCGGTGGCTAGTCAGCCTGAGGGAACCCACAGGTGCTGCTGGGAAGAGGGACAGAGAAAGCTCAACCTCTACCAAGGAATCTTCTGGAATCCCTACTCCTGCCTTTGAAACCCCTTTAACCCCAAAGAAGGCCATGGAATTTCCAGCAAGGTGGTTAAGGCTTAGAGAAGGTCAAGCCACAGACTGGTGAGTGGTCAGGGGCTGCCTAGAGCTGGACAAGCTATGGCCAGAGGACCAAAGGAGCGCCCAGCTGGGCAGCCAGTTCTATATCTGGGGTGGCCTTTCAAGCCACCTGTCCATCCCGGGGCCAGGAGCATGTCTGCTGGATGGCAGGGTCAGGTAGCGCTCCAGGGATGCCCAGCCCTGGCCCTGTGAGTCTGCTGATAGTTATCCCAGCCGGCAAGGCCATGGGCACTGGGATGCTCTTCCGCAGTTCCCACCTGCCCAGCCTCAGCTCCACAGCCTCTGCCCTGCCCCCTGGTGCCTGGGCCAGAGGACTTGGGGCCCAGCACTCACCAGCACCACGTCCCAGCCCCAGTTCCTGTAGATGGGGTCGTGCGTCTGCCGCCACAGGTACATGTAGCTCTCTACCACCTCGGGCCGCAGGATGTAGTAGCTCTCACTGAGCTGGGTGGCCTCCGCCTCTCTGCCGTTGTTGAACCAGAAGGCCTCGGGCCCGAGTTTGGTGTCTGGGGATGGACAACAGGGGACCTGGTCAGACCGGGTGCCTCTGGTTTCACAAATCAGCGCTTCAGGGGAGGCTTTGGATGCCTAAAGTCCCCGGCAGGGCAACGCTAATGATACCCTGGTGTGTGCCCTGCTGAATCGCCTCATATGGCTGCAGTGGGCAGACACACAGCGTCTCTGTTCGTCAAGGTGGGCCAAAGCGAGGCTCCTAAGGCTTCGTAAACTCTGCAGGTTTGGACTCAGAATCTGAATAAGCTACTCTGTAGTCAGGAAAGACCAAGGCTTGGGCAGTGTGCCCCAACTGCGTATTCTGAGATGTAAGTTTTCTCAAAATATTAACCAAGACTCAGCCAAGACATGACTTCAAGAAATGGCTGGAGCACATTTGGGGAACAGTAAGTTAAACAAAGTGAAATAGTTCAGTCTCGGAGACTCATCGGATCCTTTGCTCTGACAACATGGGAGGATGCTTCTCCACAGACCCTTTTCTTGGGAAACTGCTTTTAACACCTCCCAGATGCAACCTTCCAGAGCTAACAGTTTGGGAAACTGCCCAGGTGGAGAGGAAGGCAAGATTTCCCGGGCAAACACCTACTCAGGACAGAGGGGCCTGGATAAAGGAGGCCTGATAAGCTTGGGTTTTGTGTTCATCAATATACTTTTGGAGACTTGGTTTTCATTTTTGTTTTCTGAACAACTACAGTGATAACCACCTGCACAGCTACCATTTATGGCCTCAAGGGCTGGGTTAGATGCTTTACATTAGTTCAATAATAGAAAAATTAAATGATATTTATTAAGGTAGATGCCTTGATCCCTCTCTAATAATGTGGAAACTGAGGATCAGAGAGGCTATTTATCCAAGGCAACACAGCAAGTTGTGGCTGAGCTGGGGTGTGACCCTGATCTGTCTGGTACCCTTTTCCTTCTGGAATGTGCTCTGTTCCTCTCCTAGGTTTAGCTTTCTAGGTGGAAAATTTAGGGTGTGTGGGTCAGGTCTTCCTCCCTCTGCCCATCCTATCCAGGCCAGCTGAGCACCTAGCTCTTTCCTAATTCCCCCACCTTGTTTGGGATGAGTCCTTTGGGGAGCCCCGCCCCCCTACTGTTGCCCCTGCAGGGGGCTTCCTGCAGGAGGGGTCAGCTAAACTGTGGTCCCTCCCATCTTTTCAAATGGCGAAGCCACTCCAGGCCATCAGGCAACAGTTGTTTTGCCAAGTTGCTAATGGGGTGAGGACAGCACTGGGGTGAGGGCAGCCGGCACTGTGGCAGCCGCCAGCAGGGCACCGGGAACAATACGCTCTATTAAGTGGCTGTCTTTTATGGTCTGTGCTGATTGTCCCAGACAAATGGAGAGCTTTTTATTATTCCTGAGATTTGCTATTTGTTTATGGCCTTGGCAGAATGAGCTCCATGAAGAAAATGGGAGACCAGTTTTAAGGACCCCTTGCAAGTCTCTGACTTCCTGGCACAGCTCCGAGAAGCAACCATGACACGCATGGTTCGAGATGCCGCACGAAGTTTTCTCGAAGCTTCCATACTGCATTCTGGGGGACTCAAGTTCTCATTCCCATTGAAGAGATGAGAAAAGAGGCCACCCTGCTGGAGATGATAGAGTGGCACTTGGGCAGAGGTGTCTTCTCCATTGAAGACACCATTAGGACTCAGAGTGGCAGACGTCCCCTGGGGTCAGGGGGACCAGGGGTTTTTCTGCAGGGCAGCATGGAGGTGGAAATGGACCTCAGGAGACCTGGTTCTAACCCAGGTTCAGCTACTCACATGTATGATTTTGGCTAAGGTGTTTCCCTTCTCTCGGGCGACTCAGTTTCTCTGTGCAAAACAAGGAATTGGACTCTAGCTGAAGTGACTTCTGAGTGTGTATTTGACAATTCTGTGGTGAGTGCTGGGTGTGGGGGTGACCAAGGAGCCCAAATCTTTCTGGAGGTCTTGGGTCAAAAGGGTGAACAGATACATGGTACCAAGAGGTAAGGAGAGCTTGTATGGAGGGTGTGTACTGTGTGTGGGGAGAGTACATTTTTTTTTAGAGCAAACACTTTAGGGTAAAGGGATTTGTGAGGCTTAGGATGCCAATGTTTTTGCCTCAAGGGCTGGAGGACTCTGCTCTGTGCCACTCTCACAGGATCTTGGCCAAGTCATCTCTGAGCCTCAGTTTCCCCGTGTTGTGAGGTTCAGTGATGAGTGTGTCAAGTACTGAACAGCACCCATGCATGCAGAGAGCTGATGACACCTTCAGTCTCTTTCCATTGAGGTCAAATCTCAGGGCATGGCCATGTCCCTCACTGTACCTCCGTGTCACTGCCCGGGTGAGGCTGCCGGGACTGCGGGCTCCCTTCCACTCACTACTGCTCTGCTGGCCTTTTCAATGTTTCCTGGTATCCAGTCTTGGGCTCTGCTGCTGCCCCATCCCCTGCAGGGTTACCTGAGCGGGCGTATGACTCGTGGCACGTCCTGGTGATCTGGGCTGCCAGCTCTTGGTAGTGGGCCCTCTTTTCTTCCTTGGCATCCTCAGCGCCGAGGGAGAGCATGCCCCCTGAGAAACAGGCCAGGTGCCCCATCTTGTGGTCCAGAATCCCCCCTCGCCACTCGGCAAAGTAGGTCAGCCCCCCAGGAGAGACATTCAGCAAGTAGGTCTCTATCGCCTGGGAGCAGGTGGGGTGGGGGCATGGAGGGCACAGAGAAGGGAGGGAAAGGATGGAAGTGAACGTTCTGGAGACAGTAGCAAGGGTGGCTCTGAAGAGCCCTCTGTCCCTGGCACAGAAACTTCCTGGTCTCTGCCAGCCAAGGTCCCTGCAGGGTCAGCAGAGGTCCTGCACCCAGGCTGTGGCTCATTGGCCGCTGGGAGAACGGATGCAAGGTTGCTTCCTGGGATGAGTCTCTTACATAGCCTTTTTAACGATTTATGTTTTAAAAATCTTTAGGATGATTCTCCTCTTTTAGCCTGAAGCTCAGTTGGACTGTGGATGGGCTTCAGGGGTCCAGGACACCTCTAAAACAGACCTTAACCTTTTTGTGGATATGTATCTTTGCAGGAAGAGAGCCTAGATGTCTTATCAGGTTTTCAAAAGGAACATGCAACTGGCCTGGGATTTAGCTCAGTGGCATAAGTGCCTGCCTAACAAGTGCGAGGTTGTGAGTTTGATCCCCGGTATCAAACAAAACAAAACAAACCATGCAGAAAATGAAGCTACCTATGACTTGCTTGGCACATGGGCAATGGTACCCAGCACAAGGAGTGGCTTGTCCTGGGTCACCCAGACCCATTAGGACAAAGAACAGGACCACTATAGACACCCTTCCATTACCACCACTGTCTCCTTTTGGTGGGAAAAGCTCCTGAGGGGGTGCTATTGGTGAGGACTCTTGGGTTCCTGGGTTGTACAGGTGTCAGTTCCAGAGGTCCTGGAGACTGAGCTGACAGAGCTGGCTGCTCATCCAGCCATGAGGCCAGACTTGACAGGCCTGTAGCTCCTGGTGATGGGTGGAGTGCTATGGGGTCTTTGGCAGGCCTCTGCCCGTACTCCTGCCCTCCGATCTATTGGGGCGGGGAGTTCTGCACTCTAAACAGTTGGACCCTGTCAAAAGCCTGTTTTGGACTTCTGAGGACTGCTTTGGACTTCTCAGTGCCCTTGGGGAAAGGTCCAGCAGGGCCTCCCAGGACACCATTATCTGAACTCCAAGGTTTACCCTGATGCTACAGAAATGGTTCTTGGTGCAGACTCCATGGGTTCAGATTGCTTCTCCATCAGTTCCAAGCTGTTTGTGACACTGGGCAGGCTGCATATGTTCTCCATGCCCCTGTTTGCTCATGTTTAACATGGGGATAAGAGTCAGCTTCCTCAAGGAGCATTCAGTGAGATAACTGTGCAGAACAAGGCCTGTTTCCTATCATGGAGGGTTCCTACAAATGCTGGCCGCTACGAGTCCTCTACAGTCTGACCCTCACCACATCCAATCCCAGCCACACTGGCCTTTCCATTCACATCTCCTCTCCTGTCAGTTTTGTGTGCCACCAAGTGTTTTCTGGGAGTCAGCGCTGTGCCAAGGGCCACTGAAGCGGTGGCACATAGAAAGCTCCATATGAATGCAGACTGCCCAACAAGATCAAATACATGTGATGATGATAACCGGAAAGCAGTATTCTGAATGAGACGACGAGGGGAAGAGATAAAAACATGGGGTTCCCTGCTTTTCAGGGTGAGGTCAGAGCAGGCCTCCACTTTAGGACTCCCCTTCCTCTGCAAGCTGAGCCCAGCTGACTACGACTGGCCTCAAGGCGTCCTCCAGAACAGTGCTCCATGGGAGAGGACACCTAACTACCACTGCCAACCATTACTCTTGGCCTGCCAGTGCCGTCCCCAAATGGGGCATGTTTCTGTGTAATGTCATCTCTCCCAGGATGCTGAGCAGCGTCTGGCAGCAGCAGTTTCAAGGCCAGGCCTGGCACATGCAGAGACTCTGACAGTCTTCACTACTTAGTCTGGGTTTTCATTTCCTTCTCCTCCTGGGGCGCAGGGCTGGGGTGGGGGTGCTGGCTTCAGGGTCCTTGCTGAGCAGTAGCTGGGGAACAGCTGATGATGTGACAGGTCAGGGCACACGTTCCTCTTAGGGGCATGCCAAGGAGGCCTGGACAGCCACTGGTTGCCAGCCTGGTTGGTTCTGGCCTGACTCTGGCTCCTGGGCAGGGTCTGTCTGGCTAAGCATGGGTTCAGGGTGGGAACCCATGTGAGCGCAGGGCTTAAAACCTGGCTCGGAGTAACCAATGTAGGCATTTGGGATGTGAGGACACATATCTGGGGAACGGGCCACGCACCTTTCAGAGTGCTTCTTAATGGTTACTTCTATGTGGGATTAACCCCAAGCTAACTAATTGTAGTAAATAGGAAATTATAGACTGCTGACTCTTTGAAGATACACTCCAATGAGCAGATGCAAAGATAAAAAACAAGGCTTTCTTACGCTTTGAGCAAAACACAGGCCAGCACAGGCTGGTGAGGGGCAGTTAAGTTGTAGATCATAGCAGAATGCATGGGAGGGATTAGGCAGGGGGGACCTGGGCTTGAGTCTCAGCTCTGCAAGTTAACAGTGGGGTGACTTTGGGCAAGTTATTTCCATTTTTTTTTTTTTTTTGTCTTTTTCATTTTTACCGGTACCAGGGATCGAACTCACGACTGCCTGCTTGCAAGGCAGGCACTTATGCCGCTGAACTAAACCCCCAGCCCCTATTTCCATTTTTTTGAAGACCCACTTTGTCATCTGTAAAATTGGAATAATCATTCCTGGGATGGTTGTAAGGATGAAAGGAGAAAGCACTCAAAGATGTGGCTTGGTGTCTGGCCCTGCTGCTCTTGCTTGTGAAGAGCATCTGAGGCCTCCTAGGAGGGACTTCAGGCTGGCCAGACTCCTCTGGCAGCCAGTCAGACTGATGTCTGCATCCGGGATCAGGCTGCTGTGTAACCCCAGGCCTTCTGAGGCTTGCTTTCATTTTCTGGAGGGTGGGCTACATGACCAAGGACACAGAGCACTTGCCCAGCAGCTTCAGTGCCCAAAGCTCTCCGTGTTCTCTTTGATGCCCTCTTCTGTACCCGGTCCGGCCTGCCTAACCTCCCTCACCCATAACAGCTGGACCCAGGTCTAATCTGCTGGTTTCCACCCCTGGCTGCACACTGGAATTTCTTGGGGGCTTTCAAACACTATTCCTGGGTCCTGCCCACTAGAGGTTCTGATGTAACTCAGCAGGGCTGCAGCCGGGAGACAGGATTTGACAGTCCCCCTGGCGATTTTTAACATGATGACAAGGGTGAGAACCACCAGAACATTCTTCAAAGCACCAAACTTGCCCGAGGCCCAGTCTTTGCCCAGGGTCAGAGAGGCTCCAGGGTCCTCACTGGGGAGATCATATGTGGGAGTGAAGCCAGGTCCTTTCCTGTTCAATCAAGTGCTTTCTGTGAAGCTCCTGGCTGCTTAAATAATTCATGGCCATTTCTCTTCTTGAAGCCTCAACTATAGTGTGCCCCGAGGGCAGGGAATCAGCCACTGGTGAACTTCGAGTTTACTCTGCAAGGAAGGGAAGGCAGGGCTGAGGCTAATCCTCCTGTAGGGGACACTGGCCTTGCTCTGAGCTCAGTCAGTCAAACACCGACAGAGCTGAGGCTCATACTGAGCTGAGACTGGAGTCCCCACGCCTCCTCAGATTGAGGTCTGGGTGCTGGGGACCTGGGTGGGGAACCCCCCCTAAAGCCGCAGGCTGGGCTGCACTCAGCAGAGAGGAACTCTGGGGGCCACGTATAAAATACAGTTATGTACAAAAGCAGCATAACTTTATTTTATAACTGTTATTATAACATTTAAAAAGGGGGCAAGTGGCCTCTGGGATGCCGATTGGACATTCCTGGAAAAGTCCTTACTTCTGGGTGCCTGTTTCAATGTGTTTCTTTAAGCACCTGATTCCTACCCAGCTTTGTGCAATCAAAGGGTATTTAAGAGATCTTCTGTTCACCCATCTATCTGCCAGTACACCTATCCACTCACACACCTGCCCATCCAGCCAGCCATCAAGCTTCACAGGTCACCACCTACTAATATTCCCACACATTCGTTCATCTCAGATACTCGTTCACTTACTCATCTAACTGCTTATATATCCATCTCCCCATCCATCCTTCCCAGCCATGAATCTTTCTTTCCCTTTACCCACCAATACAGCACGCACAGATTTGTTTGTTCATATAATATGGCTGTGTGCCTGCTGCTAGACAGTGTTCAGGAGTGAGGCATCAGGGTGAACCAGAGACAAGATTCCTGATCCCAGGTGACTCCCATAGATGGGGAAGACAGACAATGATCAAGCAAGCAAATATGGACAGAAGAGGATAAACAATCCTAGAGGACGTGACAAAGAGGCCGGGAAGGTAAGTTCAGCAGCGTTTGAGCTGAGAGCTGACTGAGAAGAGGGACTCAGCTGTTTGGGAGGGAGCTCAGTTTGGAGGAAATGAAGTGCTAGTTTAGATCAAGCCTGTGCCTACACACATCCAACTTGCTTAATTAACTTTATGGGGAAAGTAAGGTTCAGAGACTGCCCAGTGCCCTCTCATGAATGGGCTCCAAGGACCTAGGGATGAACTGTGGGACTCCCTACACCCTTCTCCACAGCCCGGGCTAACCGATGCCCCCTTCTGCTCCTGGACCAGCAGTGGGGCCAGCTCTGTCAGTCCTGTGCTGTGTGGCCTTGAACCAATGCCTTCTGCTCTCTGAGCTTTGGTTTCTGTCCAAATAGAGAGAAGGAGTAGCAGCTTGGCCATGCTAATTATACCATCTCTAGTGCGGCAAGAAGTCCGCCGAGGGTCTCGCTTGACAGCCTGCTCCTCGCCACGGCCTGCTGGTGCATTAAGTGAAGTTCAGTGTCTGTGCAGGGAGTGGGTAGATTTTTGAACTGTGGTTTCTAACTCAGACTGACTGTTACTTCCTTCCTTGACTGAGACTTTGGACAAATGACTTAACCTCCTGTGTTTAGTTTTCTCGAGGACACTGACAAGGGAGGAGCCAGTGCAAAGAGCTGGCTGGGGAGGACCTGCCTTGCGATTCCCCTAGCCCACCCTGGGGGCTCAGTAGGTCTCTGAGATCCCCCATCCCCACTGCCCCAAGCATCCTGGGGCCCTCGGTTAATGATCAGCCACCCTCGAGGAACCAAGAGAATGTCTTACCTCCAAGGCTTCATAGTACATATTTTTAGCCTCCAGATCCGTCTTGGCAGACATCAACCAGGATTTGATCAAATATTCATAAAAACTATCACCGAGTCCTCCAATAGAGACGTGGTCTGTGCAGGGGAAGAAGACAAGAATGTCAAGTCCATCTGCCATGCACTACAGAGGGACCCCGTGGGTACGTCTTATTATGTAGGCTTGGTGGCCAGGGGTTGGGGGCTGTGGGAGCTGGCATCTAACCTGCCACCTCTGAACTCCAGTGGGGCTCAGCAGACACAGCCTGCCATGCACAGGACACCAGGGGGACTTGAGGTAGGTATCCCAGGGCCACGCATCATCTTGCCTTAGCAGCTGCAGACACCAGGGTCCTCGCTTATTAACTTTAAATGGGTTGTTTTTTTAAGAAGACAATCTGGTGGAAGGGAGTTCAGACATTTTATTGCCCAGTGACAAATGTGGTAATTAATGCTGGGCCTTCAGGAAAGGCCACAGGGAGGAGGAGGAGGCCTAACTCTTCAGATCCAGAGTACAGGGACCAGAGAAGGGAGTTTAAATGGAGTAAATTGGGATAAATGAACTCAAAGGAATGGGGTGGGGAGTGCAATGGGGCTCAAAGACCCTTCTCCTGCTTTGGTGGCCAGTGAACCAATGGCAGCTGCCAGAGTTGCCTGCAGAGCGTAGCCTGGGACTCATGAGGAGGTGACAGCTGGTGAGGACCACAGACCAAGGACACACGCTGCTCCTGTGCTCCAGAATTAACACTAGGAGGCATAAGGGAACTGAGTAGACTTACGGAAGAACTCGTTTCCGTTCAGAGGGACAGACAGGGGACATGGGGTGGACTGAGGAGTGGAAGGTCAGCTGAGTGTCTGTAACTCCTCTGGAGAAGGACAGGGGAAGAAAAAAAGAGAATGGGGAAATGGGGGGTGGGGAGACTTTGCTCTCAGATTGCTTTATCCTGGGTGTCCATCATGGATCAGGAACCTCACTTGTAACAACTTCCCCTTCCCATTACCCTGTGACGTAAGCACCATCAGGCCCATTCCCCAGGTGGGAAAACTGAGCTTGTGCTAGGCTGTCACCCTGGCAGGTGGGAGAGCCCTCACCTTCTCCACTGTACACAGTCATCCAGAGTGAAAACAAAGATGCATAGAGACGAGACAACTGAGCAGGGAGGGACCAAACACAGAGAGGAAAGACAGGTAGGACCAGGGACAGGGTTGAGAGGTGGCCAGCAGATGGGAAATTCACCCTGCAGCTGCCGGTTCCTATCCATGACCAAATCCCACCCCAGCAAGAGTTCTGGAACAGGAGACCTTGCCAAACCTGGAGCAGACAGGAGAGGGCATGTGCTCCTGGAGGACTGGGGAGGAGCCAGTGCGGTGGGGCCTGGCTATGGGGAGGGAAGGAGAGGCGGGGACAGTGGGCTCCCATCACCGCAGCTGGAGGCTGCAGCCTGAGGGGGCGCGGAGGGGCAGGAGCAGGCGCCTCTGTGGAGCGTGTCTGCAGAGACAGGCAGGCTGGACGCTGGTCTCCCAAAGCCCCAGGAGGGGGCAGCCACAGCAGGGCAGCTGAAGACACTGTCATCTCTCGGTCACCCCCTGCTGCCTCCTCGTTTCTCTCTGTCACTTCCAACAACCCGCTTGCAGCCTTCACTGTGGATTTCGCTCCTGTACCCCTTGGCCTGTGCCCCTCCTGGGCCTTGGAGTCCCTGCCTCACCCCACCCTGCTTGGCTGGCCCTCACTCATCTGCCAGGTGCAGCTCAGGCTTTCCTGGTCTCAGGAAGTCTAGGATATGGCTGATGACCCTATCACAGCCCCTCCTGTGGGTGGCCAAGTGCACATCTGGCCCTCACCCTTCATGGGAGGTGTACCCGGGTCCACCCTCCTTGTGACTATGGTCACGCTTTGCCATTGGATGCTCTTGGCATTGTTAGAAGGATCTGTTTATGGGCCTGCAGCTTGGCTAGATTGTGAGTTCTCTGTGGGGCCCTTTCTTAGGCCTGGTACTCATCTAGCACAGGGAGAGGCCGTGGGAGCGCCCAATGGATGGAGGACGGGGAGAGCTGAACAGCACTTGAACGTCAAGCCAGTTTGCGCTTCCTCACGTGAGGACAGTGTGACATGGTGCAGGACTCTCCCTGGCAGGGGTGTGCAGGAGAGGGGAAGAAGCCAATCACTAAGGCTGCAGGACTCCCTCCTGCGATTACGTATCACCTAACTGGGGGACTTGACCCAAGGGGACAGCTCTCACAAGGGTTCCCCTGCTTAACTGCCGTGTGACACTGAGGGAATCACCGTGGTGGGAATGAGAAGAGCTGCATCTGCATTAGTGGGGGGCAAGCCTCTATCCACTGGGGCTCAGCCTTCAGGTCCGTAAAATGTGAGCGGGGAAGCACAAGCTGGTGTCCTGCAGCCAAAAGCAGTCTGTTGGTGCCCGACTGTGCCAATTGTCTTCTCACACTGGCCCATAGAGACAGGGCCACAGCCTAAGGAGTTGGGGGTAAAGCTAGGAGGCTCCAGGCTGGGTGCGTGGGCAGATCATGGCCCCGGGCTACTAGGGCAACCTGGACCTGCAGCTTCTCTTTCTGAAGACAGTGTGGGATTTGGGACAGAGATTGCCCAAGCCCAAGCCCAAGCTCCAGGGCCGGGTCTCAGGGTGGACTCATCTGTGTCTGGTACCCCTGGGAGTTCAGAGGATTTGTCCTGAGTGTAAAGTCTTAGCAGCAGCAGGGTTCTGAGCTTCTGCTAAGCTGAAGCCTCGCTTCAAGGTGGAGGGGGAAGCAGGCAGGAGCAGAGGCAGGTAACTGGGATGCAGCAGCCCTTGCTCCTCCTCCGCCTCTGTGCTGTGATTTCTGGCTGCAAATGGGTTCCACAGTCCCTGCTCACCCAGGACAGGTTTGTTCTAAGGATTCAAGGGGAGAGGGCATAAATGCACTTAGCTTCTGCAAGGTGGGGATGTGATTATCTGTTGAAAAGACACATACAGATGGATGCAGAAAATCTCCAGAAAACCTCAGATGACCCTGGACATCAAAGCCTGGGGAGCAGGGAGGCAGAAGCTTGGATCAGCAGGGTTTTATGACCTTCCCTCTGCTCCTTAGCAGGCTGCAGACTCATATTTTATTAATATCAAACAATTTCCCATATGTGACCAACTTTGCCCAGACGGGCAGTCCCTGGAGCACTCTGAAAAGCAAATTATGCCTCTCAGCTGGGGGTGGGGCATCCTGTTATTTAGCGAGGTAACTGTTCAGCTGCGAAGCCACATCCCTCTCATCTCTTTATGGGTTCTGCTGCATTGTCCTGGGACAGCTTGGTTCCTTACCCAGTCAGGCCTTGCAATTAGAAGCTGTTAACAGTCACCATACTATCTCTTCCCAGGGCCATAATCTGTAACTAGGGGCTTCATTTTCTCCCTACACTTGGATTCGGCAGTGTGTGTTGGTTGAGAATATTTTGCACTTCTAATACAAAAAAATTTTTTTTCCAGGAGGCCACTTGAGGTGAAGCCATCACTGGGGAAAGTTCTTGGGTTGAAATTTCTGGGCTCCTTAGTCAGGCAGATGCTAGAAACCCTGGCAGGAAGCAAAGATGTCTGCAGTGTCTCCATTGAGTCCTCCCCGAGCTGGCCCTCCAGGATCTGCTCAAATTGCTCCTTTTGGGACAACCCAAATGTGCCACTGAAGAGTGAGATGAGCTGCTCAGCTAAATCCCCAGCCCCAAACTCTGATTTTTATAAACAGTTTTAAGCAGAGCCTAACAATAATGATGTAAAAATTATTAATCTACCACTATCCCTTAAACCTATAAGAATCAGTCCCTGAATTTTCACGTATCTCTGTTTGGAGACTTGATTTTCAGCTGCATAGTTGTTGATCACCTATGAAACAACATTCACATGTGCCCCCACCCTCTGACACAGAATGGAAGCTGAGGGGACAGTGTTGACAGTCTTCTGGGCCCTCGTGAAGTGCACCCCACTGAGAAGCTCTGGGAGAAGCAGGCCACAGCTCCAGCTTTGCCCCTTTGACAAAGCTTTTGTCATGTGGCCGTGGTCAGCAGAAATTGGTGATGGCAGATCCCTTCCCAAGTCCTGCCCGGGACCCCCCACCTCCACGTGTCTAGGGAGCAGGGGAAAGTAGACATGAATAATGGCTGCATGGCTTGGTCTCCCTGAACCCTAGTTTCCTGTCCTGCAAAATGAGAAACGTGGATGTGCTGGGTTCTGTGTGCCAGGAAGAACACTGGAACAAGGGCCAGAGTTTGGGGGCTGGGGATTTAGCTCAGCAGCATAAGCACTTGCCTTGCAAGCAGGCGGTCGTGAGTTTGATCCCCGGTACCAATTAAAAAAAAAAAAAAAAGGAAAAAAAAAAATCAGAGTCTGAAGTGAGGAACCAGATTAAAGGGGTTGGAGAGGATGCCTTTTCCGGTGAAGAGGACAGTACCATTCCTGCAGGTTGGGGGGCAAGAAGGAGGCCACAGTGGGCACCACAGGAGACGGCAGCTGGAGAACTAGGGGTGGGCAGGGATTTAAGGAAGGGCTTTGTTACATCCACCCCAGAAGTGGCAGCAACAAAGGAAGGGCCCCGGTGCCAGGGGAGGCAGGTGGTATGAAAGAGCTGTGCCAGTGCTGGGCTGGGGGCCTGGCTGGGGCTCAGGAAGCTGACCAGGAGCCAGCGGAGTGAGCGTGTGGCATCTCGGTACTCACGCTGCACCCAGTTCCCGCTCACTGGGCTGAGGAAGTTGGGGTAGAGGCCGAGGGGCTTATCGATCTTCCTGAGGACCTTGCGAATGTTCCTGACCTGTTGAGAAACAAGACACAGTACACCTTCACCTTCCTGAAGATGCCAACTGGCCCCTGCCCACTGCGGACAGGAGGCAGCTGGTCAGATTCACAGACAACACAGTTCCCACAAGGCAGGAGGAAAAGCAGTGCAAGGAAGTGCAGGCTCCAACCCACGGTGGCCAGCTGGCTTCGCCCCAGGGCGCACATGCAGAGCCTGGGCCACCAGCTCTCCACTGACCGCTTTGTCTGGGACCAGCACCACCCCAGGCCCATGGCAGACTTTTTTTTTTTTTTTTTTTGGTGTCAAGTAAGTGACAATATCTCATTTGTAAGCATATTGTAAAATTGCCTTTTAAATAGGTCATAAATGGTCAAATGTAGCAATCCCACAACTGGGCATGTATCCAAAGGTAATGAAATCAATATGTCAAAGAGACATATATATTCCTGTATCCACTGCCACACTGTCCACTAGAACCAGGATGTAGAATCAATCCGAGTACCTGAGTGGAAGAATGGGCAAAGGAAAAGGTAGAGTATACAGAATGGAATACCAGTCAGTCTCAAAAAAGGAAATATCTTTGTGTTTTTTGAGATAGGGTCTTGCTCTGTAATTCAGGCTGGCCTTGGACTCAGTACGTAACCTAGACTGGCCTTGAACTCATGGCAACCCTCCTGCCTCAGCCTCCTGAGTGCTGGGATTATAGCCATGTGCCACTATGTACAGCAATGTTCTCATTTTTGCACAGCATGGGTGAATCAGAAGGATGCTTTGTTGAATGAAAGACAGGCACCACGTGACCTCACTTAAATGTGAGAATCCAATAAAGCTGCATGGAAGTAGAGAGTCGAATGACGGCTACCAGGGTGGGCTGGGGTGTGAGATGCTGGCCAAAGGATACAAGTTTTAGTTAGGAGGAATGAGTTCAAAGGATCTGTCCAATGGTGACTCTGGTTAGTAACTGCATATTACATTATTGCAAATGGCTGAAAATAGATTTTAGCTGTTCTCACCATGCCAAAAAAATGTTAGGCAATTAAAGAAAGTTCGGTCACAAGTTGACACTTTCACATGGTTCTGCCCAGTGACATATTAATTTACTGGACACCTCAGAATAGGCTGCAGGGCACAGACCCGGACTCCTGAATACCCCAATACTCCTACTCCCCAAATGGCATCTCAGGGGTTTAATGGTGATAAGAAGGAGAGCTGTTAGCCTTGCTCAGCTCCTTCAAGCTGGCCCCTGCCCACTGGGGACAGGAGACAGCTGGCTCAGATTCACAGACAACACAGTTCCCACAAGGCAGGAGGAAAAGCCTCCCTGTACATTATCTCCCTATGTACACTGTTGCACAGGTGACCGCATGGGACAGTGCGGGGTGCCCTAGCTGCATAAGCAGAAGCTGATTAACACTCAGCATTAGGGGCTGTGTGGTGAGAGGTGAAACGGAGGGCTTTCTCCCTGGTGTCCGCCCTCCGGCCAGGGCAGGATGCTTGGGAGAGCAGAGCTTCAGGACCACACCACTAACAGGTTAACCTCCGAGCTGTGGGGCTACAGGAGCAGCCTTTGAGTTGTCAGACTGTCCTTTCAGGGGACAGCACCCTGCCTTGCCGCATCAGACTTCCTGCCCATTTATGCTAACAGAGTCCATTCTGGGGACAAGAATGTGCTTGTACCTCAGTTATTCTCTGCTGTCCAGGTGGTGAGCAGTGAAGCAGGCTAAATTAGCTCCCCTGGAGGGTGCAGGCGCTTCTAGAATTTGGGCCAATTTGTTGACTGCCAATAATCGCCTCTGTGGGAGGTGTGATGGGGAATGAAAATAGCCAGAGTATGCAAATGTAGAGGCAGACAGAGACAGAGGGATGGACTCCAGAGGACAAGCCTGCAGCCTGTTCTACTTGTCTGGTGTGGAAAGAGCCAGAAAGCTGTGGGCTTGAATCCCAGCTTAATGGTTCACCAGCTGGACGGCCCTGGCCACATCGCTTGGCCTAAGTCTCAGTTTCCTCCTCTGTAGAATGGGGGAGGAGGAAGGCCACCTCCTTGGGTTGCTGGGACAGGAGAGACTGGAGCCACTACAGTCTGCCCAGCACAAAGCAGATGCTCAGACAGTGGTGACTGTCATTCCAGCTATCCCGAGCCAGCGGGTGGCCCCTGTCCTGGTCCATCTGGAACTCTCAAGGCATCCTGGAGGAGTCTGGTTCCAGGGTAGTGGAGCAAGAAGGCAGGGGTGAGGTGCTTAGGGGTGGGCAAAGCATTCAAAAATAAGAGCATCAGGAAGTAAGATGACACTAAGCCCCTGAGCAGGCCCAGGGCGTCATGGGATGTCATGAGAGTCCTCTCGATAGGACAGAAGAGCTGATGCCAGTTTGGGCATCTGAAGGGTAACAGTGAACGCCACGTCAAAGATGGGGTGCAGAGGCTCTTCCTGAGCTTGAGGACAATCTGGTGGTCTCCTACGCTGAGTGAGACGTGGTTCCCAACCCAGCAGAAAGAACCCCAGGATGTGTACGGAGACACAGATTCCCGGGCCTGGGGCGAGCCGGGTGGAACTGCTTCCTTATACTGTCCTGGGTGAAGCAGAGGCCAGCTGGCGACAGTCCAGGAGGCTGGTGTTCCTGAAGGTGAAAGGCTTTCCCCTGGGGGGACACAAAGGCTCTCTGTGGGGGTGTGCATCTCCCCAGGGGACTCAAGGAGGGAGCACTGCAGTGGAGCCTGAGCACTACCCTTGGTGGCCTGCACACTGCCTCCTTTGGGCCTGGGGCAGACCGACATATCCCTCCTGCGAGGACTGCTGGGGGACTGCAGCAGTGAAGAACCACCCCAGCTGGAGGCCACTCTGGGGGGCCAGGTACCAGCTGCTCTCACTGGACAATGGCCAAAGTCCACCTCTGAGAACCCACATGGCCTTAGGCACAGGGATGAGTGCGGACAATTGCAGACCTCTGCTGAGCAGTGGGATCGCTTTGCCAGCCTGCTGTCAACGCAAGCCAGTCAGGCATCTAGGAGGAAAAGGCAGGCACGTCTCACGTGGAAAAGTTAAATGTCCCTGGAAAGGGGACACGCGCTGGTGGCCAATTTCTGCCAACACCAGGCAGTGCCTCGATTTCGGATGCACCTTCTGCAGATTTCACAGTTTGCAGATTTGCCTTGAGCTGCTGCAATTCCCGCCCTGGCAGAGCTCTGCCTCTTCCACCCTCCAGGGTCCTGGCGGTGCCTGCGCTCCCTTCCCTGCCACCTGGCATCAGGGCACAGTCTGCTTCGCCACAGATAACCATGCGGCCCCCCAGCCATCCCCCTGCTGATCGGGGAAGGAGTGCAGACTCAGCATCTTTGAAAACCTGTGACAGCAGATGCTCCTCCTGCCTCCTGGGAAGAAGGCTGGGGGCTGTCCTGGGAGAGGCTGCAGGTGGGGTGAGGGATACTTACCTTTTCTGCAAAGATGGGGTTGCCCGAGAGCTCAGTGAGGTGTAAGAATTCCAAGTGCAGGGATCCGAACTCTGCCAGGACACTGCTGCTGCCTGAGGTGGCCCAGCCCCAGCTCCCACTGGAAAGAAAGCAGCAGCCAAGGTCACACCCAGCCCTCCCTACCGGCCAGGAGCAACGCAGCTGCTGGGGGTGGGCAATGGCCGTGTGCCAGGCATTGTGCTGGGAGCTTTCACCATGCCGCCTCCATGAATCCTCTCCAGCCCCATTTTGCTGAGGAGGCCACTGAGGCGAGGGAGGTGATGTGACCGGTTTAACACCATTTGAACCCAGGCCTGTCTGACTCACATATGCTTTGTTTCTACAAACAAGCTGCCCCTGTAAGACTTGGGGGCTCAAAACCTGGCAGTTGCGATAAATTTACAGGTGACGCTGGTAATGTGTCAGGGGTCACAAAGACCCAATAGAATACTCTGTTACTGTCCTTTGGCTGAAACCACTGATCATATGGAAGAGAGACGGTTCCAAGGCCCCACCAGCCCTTTCCCTGTTCTCCACCTGTCAGGGCTCTCCAGGGACACACAATGGTCCTGGCCTGAGATTTCTTGGACCTGCACATGACAGGCATTCAACTCTAGAGTGACCACAGCCCTGCAGCTTCCAGATCCAGGGGAAGCCAGGGCTAGGAGGAAAAGTGCTGGGAGGTCAGGTTTCCTGTCCGGGACATGGTGCTTCTCACAGCTCTCATCTCGAGGTTGCTATAGTCACCTTGGGCTGGTGCCATCTCAAAGCCAGGGCCTTGGCTGGATGTGACAGTGATCCTTCAGATGAGAAAACCAGGACCAGGGCAGTGATGCCACCTGTCTGAGCTCACCTAGCCAGAGCAGCATCTGGGCCCCCAAGTGGGCTCGGAGGCCAGGACTCATGCTGACCACCATGGGGACCTCCCTGTATCACATGATCCTATACCAAAGCTTTCACTTTCCATCTCCTGGGATCTGGAGCCAGAGGTGCTGGAGTGCCTACCAGGCAAGCCACTTAATCCTGCATACCTCAGTTTCCCCATCTGTGAAACAGGGATAGGGTAATACCTTCTAGTCAGTCTCCAGACCTGGAGCTTTGTAGGGTTTAAGAGGAGGGTTGCCAGTGGGGGTGGCCTTGGACAAGCTGCTTCTCTGCCCTGTGACTCAGTGTCTTTATACGGATCACAACTATCTTTCCTATCAGACATTTAGGACAACCAGGGGGACAGGGACTCTGAAGGAAGGCTGAGGAGGACAGGAGTGGGAACAGGGCAGGTGGAGTGACCTGCATTTGTGGGGTTCCAGGGTCCGTCCTCAGATGGGGCAGGCTGAGGGGCTGGCTCTTCTGGGGCTCTGGGAGGGCCATCTGCTCTCTGTGGTGACAGCTCTGGCTGCTCAGGAACTGAATCAGGTGGGGTAGGGGGAGGTCACTGTCTGATACCTGAGGGCACCCCTTTTTCTGGGCTGGAGCTGTGCCTCCCAGGCTCACAGATTCCAGGAGACTGGATAGAGGACTCAGGGTTGAGATCTCTGGAGTCAGGTGACTTTAACAAATGTAGAGACAGGTCCTCTTCAGCCTGGCTCTGTGTCCTGGGGTGTCTCACTGACTTAGGAAAGAGCAGTACGTACGTCCCAGACAATAATAAATGGAAGGGCTCCTGCTCATGGGGTGGCTTCAGCATGTGGAAAGCTGTTTGCATCATTACCCCTTTTAATGACCCAGGTGAAGCACCATCCATCCCAATATGCAAAGGAGAAGGCAGAGTCCAACAAGGCAGTGCAGGGTTTGAGAGCAGAGCTGGGAGCTCCTCTGGCCTCGAATTCTGGGCCCAATGGTGTCCTTCCCTAAGATGGCCAGCTCTCCCAGTGGGAAAGAGGCCTCTGTCCCTCTTCCCCAGTGCCAGGAGGGGGACTTCTCTCTCCAGCTTGGGCGTGCACTGGGAGCCTGGGTGCCCTAGAGGGCGCCCCCAGTCATCGATGCTTCCAGCCTCCAAGATACATTCCAGGAAAAAGCCACCAGGCACCCGGTTGGTTTCTGACCTGTTCCCTCCACCCCCACAGGCCTCTCCTGCCTTCTCAGGCCCTCATCTGCTCAGCAGCCCAGCAGGGTTCCTATGTGGCACCCCCTGCAGACAGGTGGGGCTGGCAGGTGGGCAGATGTGGCTGCCCCACCTGACTTCACCTAGCACCCTGGGTACTAGGCAGGTACTCCCAGGCTGGGTGGTTCATGTCCTTAGAGCTCAGATTTTCTCTTCTCTGATGTTTGGTACCCACAGAGTTATTGTAGGGTATAAATTATGCATGAAATTATTGTTATTTTTATCATGATGTAATTATGCACATGTAAACTGTTTGTTTGTTACTGTTGCTAATATATTCCTAACATGGACCAGGCAGCTTGGGTATCTTATTTTGCTGCACATCCATGGAGGTAGACACCTTGAATCTTTATTTCACAGGTGAGGATACTTAAGATCAGAAATGTGGGGACACTTTTCTAAGGTCACACAGCAAGTGGGAGAGTCAGCGGAGCTAAATCCAAATCCAAGTCTTAGGTACTCCATGTCCCAAAGGCATGTGCGCTGGGCAACATCCCAGACACGAGGCCCTCTGACCTGCTCTGTGAGCCAATGGGTCAGCAGGAGGTTCCGCCTCGTTTCCTCCCCGCCCAGCCCTCTAAGCTCAGGTGACCTGCAGCCTGTGTTCTTTCCCTCCCTGGGCAGGAGGGCTGCTCCACGATATCTTCCCTGTGTTAGCTAAAGCTACTGTGCGTCGTTAACTCTGGAGCTCAACACAGCAGGATTCTAATTCTAACTTCATTTGGCTGCTGTGTGACCTCAGGTGAGTTAGCACACTTCGTTGAGCCCCAGTTTCCTTACTGGCCAAATGGGGTCCCTGTGGTTGCTGTGAGGTTAAGAAGGAAGAATCCACATCAGGCACTCACAATGTGCCTGACCATGGTACGCACTGCATAGCTGCTAGTGGCTGTCAAGATGTACACATCTGGGTGTGCCATGGGTGAGCTGGGTAAACGTGCTTTTGTGTGTGACCTGTGTGCCTGTGCATGAATGTAAGCATGCGTGTGACAGAGGTAAGCAAGCGGGCTTGAGTCTGCCATCTGCATGGGCGGCAGAGCGTTCACATGTATCCGAGGCCCTATAGGAGAGCCAAGGAGTCCGATTCAGGTGCAGAGGTCCTTGGACAGGCCACTGTCACCATGTCAGATATTCCAATGGTCCCTGTGGGTCACAGGTTCCGGCTGGCCTGCCTGTGCTGGGCAGGGTAACTCTGTGGGCCCAGTGCCCACCAGCAGCTCCCCCCCACCCTGCGCCGCAAGGAGCAAACTCAGCTGTATCCATCTCTGTCGCCCTCCCATTTTTAGCAACAGAAGATAAAAGCGAGATGTTGCCAAGAAATATGCATTTGTATACGTATGTATACAGCCGCAAACAGCCTAAAAATACCCAGCTCCCTCATCAGACATGCCAGGACTGTGTGGGATGGGGCCGTGCTCTGAGGAACACAGCACAGGGCTACGTCCCGCAGGAGGGAAGGGTACTCAGGTAGGTCCTGGCCCAGACCTGGGAGAGGCTACAGGAGCAGAGAGGTTTTTTTTTTTTTTTTTTTTTTTGTCTTTTTCATTTTTATCGGTACCAGGGATCGAACTCACGACTGCCTGCTTGCAAGGCAGGCACTTATGCCGCTGAGCTAAATCCCCAGCCCCCGAGCAGAGAGGTTATGTCCAGGCTTCACAGCAGCTGGCCAGGACTCTGCAGCATTGGTCAGTGTAGAATGGAGTCCGGATGAGACCAAGCATAATCCTGGCGTGGAAGACAGGAATTCGTCAGCCCTGACTGTGAGAGCAGTGAGACCACAGGGAGATGGCTCGGACCCAAAAGGCCAAGCCCCTCTTTTTGCAGAACAGAGAAGGGGTGTGGAGCTGGTGAGGCCACAGGGCAGAGAGGGAGCTGTGGGTGCTGCAGCCTGAGCCCAGCCCCTCTCTAGTGCTGGCTGATGCTGCTGTGGGGTGAGCACCTCACAGTGAGGGCTCTTTTAGGCGATGGGAGAAGGTCCAGCACAGTGGAATCGCCACAACTTTTCTCCAGTTGGGTTGGGTCAGAGCACCTCAAAGCTGGCCCAGTACTGCTGGCTGGCTGGCTGGGAAAACGGTTCCACACAGCTCAGGACAGGGCTGAGGGTTCCTTGAGAGCAGGATTCCTGGTCCAGGAAGAACGCTAGGGGTCCTGAGACACCTTAGCAGCTCTGGGCACCTCCCTGCGGGGGAGGGAATTCTGCGCCCCGGGCTTCTGCACCCTTGATGGGGAGGAGGTGTGTGTGGTGCAGCTGGAGGTCAAGGCAGTGGTGTGGGATGTCCACGCAGGAGCAACTTCCCCCCACCCCTGGGAAAGGTCAGGCTGGGTGACAAACACCTGTACAGAAGACCCCTTGGCTAAGGCTCATTTTCACTGTGTCACTGACTGGCTTTGACTCCCTAGACAGGAACTGTCCTCTCCTTGCGCCACATTTGTAAAAGAACAGGTCTGACAAATCCGACCACCAAGCCTTCATTCTTCCTTGACAACCAACTGCCCCTGGGTCGTCAGTGGGCCACCATCCAGACAACGTGGGCAAAGAGAGGGCGTCCTACCTTTTGAAGTTTACGACGCCCTTTGGAATTCCCGTGGGGGTGTTGAAGGCTGGCAGCAACTTCTCTCCAAGCTTGATGGCCTTCATTCGGAACACCTGCAAAGCAAGGGTCACTGGCATTGAGTAGAGGCTGGGCAATGTGGCTGGAGTTGCTGCCGGCAGGGTGAACCCACCAGGCTGTGGGCCCGAGTGGGACACTGTGCTGGGCTCCACAGTCACCTGGGTGGGAGCTTGAGCCCCTAACGACTGACCTTGTGGCCTGAAGGGACACACTTCTCTCTGAGCTTCAGTTCCTGTGTTCACAAAATGAGGATAACGTTGTCCTCCACAAAAGGCTATCAGTTAAATATTCACTGTAAAGCATTCACCGTAGGGCCAAGACTATGAAGACCTGCCACTGTGACAAGGTGACCATTGGGAAGAGGTGAGGAAGGCAGTCAGCAGTGTGTGGGCGTCACTTCCACATCCAGACGAACACCTGGATGGGCAGGTCTCCAGTGGTCAGTCTGCCTACTCTGCGGAACCAATGTCATAGGCAGAGTGCTATAGTTTGAACCTGGAGTATCCCCCAAAAAGCCAGGTGTTGAAAGCTTAGTCCTTACCCTGTGGTGCTGCTGGGAGGTGATGGAACCTTTAGGAGGCAGGGCCTATTGGGACCAAGGCTCCTTTGTCTCTGTTTCCCAGCTGCCATGAGGTGAACAGGCCTCCTCTTCCACCTGCACCTACTGTGACGTTCTGTGCTGTCACAGGCCCAAAGCAACAGGGCCACCCAATCTCTGAACCTGTGAGCCAAAATAAGCCTTTCCTCCTTGTAAGTTGATTATCTCAGGTACTTTGTTACAGCGATGGAAAGCTAACACGGAAGGTGTGGGAGATGCAAGGTTATTACTGGATGGAGCATGTGGAACACTGACTGGGGGCTGAGGCTGCCCTCAGCCCCTGTTCTAGAAACCACAACTGCAGGGTGGGTTTCCCCAGTGAAAGTGGGACAAGGGTCTTTCCCTCTGATGCCAGGGTGTTGCCTGTGGTTTCCATTTCACAGATGGAGATGAAGGAGAGGCGATGCTTGTCCTAAACCCCCATGTGACACAACCCCCAGAAGGGGTTCCAGGCCTCTGGGGCCCTGTCTGAGGCATGACCCCCTCAAACCATTGCTCTGAGGCCAGACAGATTCAAAAGGACTTCTGAACTTGTGACTCAGCACTTCCCATCCTAGCAATTTATTCTAAGGAAGTATACAATCAATAAAGTTGTAAAGCTTTGACTTTATAGTCATTTATTCCAGCATTGTTTAGAAGAAGGGGGTAAAATGGAGATACTCTATCAAACAACAGGGAAGTGGTTAAAGTATGGCTTTCATGCAATGGAACACCACGTAGCCACTAAAATGATGTTGTAGGAGAATATTTAATGGCAAAGGAAGGATTTAAAATATACAAAGAGAAAAATATTTCACAACAGTGTGATTCAACACACGCATACATGAAAACAGAAGGAAACGCCCCAAAATATTAGGAATGTTCTTGGGGGGGGGTTAATTTATGGACAACATTTATTTTCTTCTTTTGACTTATTTTTATTTTCTGTGCAATTTATTTTTATTTTTTTAAGCTGGTGCCTTGCTGGCCTCAACTGCTTGGCTCAAGTGATCCTCCGGCCTCAGTCTTCAGACTACATGGGAGTACAGGAACTTACAACTTACAACTGGTTGTATAATAGCAACAACCCTGTGACATTGTTGGCCATCTGTAACCACAGGTTATACACTCATGGGATAAAAAACTGAAGACAGAAAATATTTTTAAAACACTGCATCCGTACAGACCTTTTTTTCCTGTTGTCATCCCTAAGCGATACAGAACAGGGTGTTTACACTGTTACGGATTTTAACCCAGGGATGACTGAAGGTGTATGGAGGGTGTTGGTAGGTTCTATGTAGGCACTGTATCATTTTCTATCATGGTTTGAGTCTCTGTGGAGTTGATATCCACAGGGGTCCTTAGACCCAATGTCCCCCGGATATGGAGGGAGGACGGTACAGGTTATTTATAAGAGAGGAGCCAGCCCACGGGGAAACGGCTTTCCTCTCATTTCCGAGCTCTGGGGCGATCCAGTTTGCTGACCTCCTGTGCTTGCAAAATAAAGCTTTCTTGAGTCCTCCCAACACCAACTAAACCTGCTGAGGCAGCTGTTCCGGAGATACAGTGGAGACAGATTTCTGAGCCCTCTGAACTGGGCTGAGTTTGAGGCCTCTAAGGGAGGGTGGTTCTCCTACTATAGAAGGGGAGAGCTGTGCTGGGGCTGGCTGGAAGAGGACACTGACCAGCACCAGATGACTGGTCTGGCAGCCGGCCACATCAGAACCCAAAGGCTCAGGACCTCCCATAATGACAGGTCTGACCCTGGGGAACTGCAGTGAGCAGCTAGGTTTGGGCTGCACAGATAAGCACAGAGCCGGTCCACCTGGGGGCATGGGCTGTTTGACCCTCCCTTAGAGCCCACTCTCAAGTCACAGGTGCCCCTGTCTACAGCCACCTGCTGGGTGTATATCCTGATTGCTTCTAAGGAGTTAAGAGCTCAGAACCACAGCTGCACTCAGAGAAGGGATGGGAGGACTGTGGGTCATCTGAGGAGCTATCAGCTTCTTCCTGGGTTAGTGACCCCCAAGCCAACCCTGTGATTCCTGAGCAGCATCCCCTCCCCTCTGCTGCCTGTCATCCTCCCAGCCACAGCCCGCAGGGAGGCTGGGTGAGGTCTATAAAGCACATGCCTGTCTTTCTCTGCAACTTCTGTCATTTTTCTCTCATGAGGTTTTCAAATAAGATTCAGGCTCTGGGTGGCTCCAAGCTAAGGGCTCCTATCTATAATTTTTTGGACAAATTGGTACAAGCAGTAATCTCTGCTGAGGAGATTGTGCCAGATGGAGAGTGACCTGAAGCAACTGGAGAGATAAAGCTTGTATATGCCATCTCCAAGCCCCTGGCTTCAGCCCACGCTGCTGCAACAGCTGAAGGGAGGTGGAAATGACTTTCTGGACAGCAGCGGTGGAGGGAAGAGGGATTTGCTGCATCTCCTCAGGCAGTGGGAGGCAGGCATAGTTATTTGTCATAGGGTGGACTGAGCTGAGGGGGGAACAGGACAGAAAAGACTGAGGTGTGCAGCCCCAGAGCAGCAGACGTGCTGGGCAGAGCCACCCTCTGGGTCAGACTGATGCTCTGGGGGCTCTGCTGGTCTTGCCACCAGATACTAGGGCTTTCTTGTTCCAGGAGCTCATGATTTGGGATGAAGAAGATTCCCATTCTACAGAGCACTGTGCTGTTCAGAGGAGCCCCACCAGCCCCGGCCAAACCTTTCCTTGCATCCTATTTCACAAAAGTTTCTGACCTCAAGGTAGTCGTGACCACCCCATGCTGGGGAAAGGGTGAGGCGGCAGGCCAGGGAGGATGGGTGGACTGAGGTCCGGGCCTTCTGCCTTCCTGCTGGAAGCCAACAGGGCTCACCAGAACAAGACCTTGCACTCGCAGCCTGGGACTAGCAGTAACCATCCCAATGTCCCCTTGGAACTTGCAATGGGTGTCTGGCCCCAGTAGGGAACAGCAAGGTTGACTAGAGACAGAAAAGCCAGTGACTCAGGGGTAGAAGGCTGAATGATGGTGGCTTTGGCTTTGCCAGTCCTGAGAAGTAACGCCTACAAACCAGGTTTTCCAGGTGCTATATGTGCAGGGGGCTCAGAGTGGACACAGTTGTCTTTGACAGCATCAGGAGCCAATCAGACTCCCCTAGGTGGCAGAATTGAGACACAGAGAGGAGGAGGGAGGAGGAGTCTTCAGGTGGTACTTGGAAACCTGGCCCTTCCCCCCCAGGCAGGCCCTGCCACCTCAAAGCCTTGTTTCCCCACTGGTGACAAGAGGGACAGGATTGGATGTTCTCTAAATCCCTTTCCAGCCAGACAGTCCCGGGTCTCCCCAGCCCACTCACCTCCTCTCCTGTCAGGTAGTAGGCTGAGAGCAGCCCTCCAATGTAGCGGATGTTCACCTCAAACAGGGACGCTTCTCCGCTCTGCAGCACAGAAACCAGGAGAAGGGACAGCGAGGACACTCGTGAGCCAGCCAGGCCCTTGAGACGGCCACCGCCCACCCTCTTCTCACCCCCGCCTCACACCTGTGCACACCTGTGAGGTGTGTGCCGAGTGTGTGTGTGGCAGGGTGCCCCAGTGCTCCAGGCCATACTCGGTTTTCATAGCACAAGTTGAGATGGTTCACCACAGGTTTGGCGGCCGCTGTACATTTACAACATTCCAAATAAACACAGGCTTTGGCTCCTTCCCCAGCCCTTGCCTGAGGCCATCACAGCAAAGCTATGCCTGGCTGCGCCCCAAGGAGCTCAAGGACCTGGTGGGGAGCTGCAGGCTGGAGCTTAGACTGAGGGGAGGCAAATCCTCCTCCAGCTGGCCCACACCATCCCCCAGCGTGGCTTAGCAAGAGAACTGGAAAGACCTTTCCCTGGGGTGGTGCACAGCATCGGGCCAGGGCTGAGTGGAGGGTGCCAGGCAGGTGCGGCTGGGCTGACCTGCACTTTCTCAGGCCCTGCAGGGCATGCTCGTACCTGGCCTTCATCATTGCTGTTTTCTTTCTGAAACTGGGACCGCAAATCAGGGGTGTGGAGGCATCATGCCAAAGGCCAGTTTCAGGTTACAAATTCCACCTGGGCCACTTAAGTGGCTTTGGGATCTGAGGCAAGACATTTTGCCTTTCCCTGCCCTGGTTTCTTCACCTGCAGAATGAGGCTGATGCCCACCCCCACGCAGTGCGCAGGCTGCAGCAGGACCCCTGCCCAGAGCTGGGTGTGGCCTTCATAAAGGCCTGTGCTCTCCTGTACGAGGGGGCTCACCTGGATCACCATTTTAATACTGACAGAGACAACCATTACTTACAACCTGGAACTTTTCCAGCAGCACAACACAGGCAAAGCCGATGGCCCTCCAGCCTCCCCATGCTGCATGAGGTTGTCCCCATTTTCCAGAGAAGACAGTTACTGCTCCAAGAGGCAGCCCTCTCTTGCTTTCTTCCGTGGACTCTCCCTAACCTGCCCCAGTCCGCATGTCCCCAGGCTCCCTGACCTCTGCTGCTGGGCACACTTGGCCCAGAGGAGCCAAGGCCTGCACAGAGGGACAAGGTAGGCCCATGGACATATTCCTCCCCATCCTGCCTCTGCCCCTGCCCCTCTCCAGCCCAGAGGGAACAAGAGGGTTCTCAGCTTCCCTGGACTCACACAGACCCTGGGGAATTCCCTGTGTCCTCAGGATAATCCTGGTCATTACGGCAATGAGGATGCTGCTCTACATAGATGTCAGACTCTTTAGTGTCATTAAATGTTTCTACAACCTTCTGTTGTTTTTAATCCTCACAGTAAGCGAGGGGCCTGGGCATTGCCGCTGCTGTCCTTGTCACTCTCGTGGGACAGTGTGGCTAGAGTCCCAGGGAGGCTAAGTGCCTCTCCCCAGGTCTGCTGTAGGGCATGTGGCGTCCTCTCTGCTCAGCTCTGTGCTGGTAAGAGGCCTCCCTGCTGCAGGGCTGTCAGAGCTGTCACCAGCCCCTGTGCCTTAGGACCTGTCCCTTGGGGAGCTTCACACAGAGCCCTACAGCGTATCTAGCTGTGACCCTTCTCTCCTCCCACCATCTCCAAATCTCACTCCCCAAGTCCATAAACGTGGCCTCTCCTGGTGGTGAGCTGAGACCTCTAGCACAGATCACTGCCTTGGTCTAGGTCAAGAAATCGATAGGGCGGGCCTGGCCTTCAGAGCCTTTGTGCCATTCAGACCCATTGCTATTCTCTCTGTGAGGTCCTGGCCTTGAGTGCGGTCCCTGTGAAATGGAAACGAGGAGGACGCCAGCTCACTGTGGGCCTCTGTCCAGCCGCCACTCCATACCCATCTCATGAGAGCAGCACTGGGTATCCGAGGCCGAAGCAGCTCTAGGCTGGGCCATGTTTCCGCTTCACAAAGCCACTTTCTACCTGCGCTACCACTGCTGCTGTGTGATAGACTCAGCCCTGGAGGGGAGGTCCTGGCTGTGGGCCATGGGCCCAGGATGAGCTGCAGATGACCTTGTGGGAAGACAAGGGGTGATGGTGGCTGTCTTCTCTCCCAGACAGCATGCCTGCCTCGAGGATGTTACCACCTCAAGGCTGGTCTTTTTTTTTTTTTTTCCAAGGCTGGTCTTAAGGGGGACTCATCTGGGAGGAGCTGTCCTGGTTCCTGAGAGTGCTCTGCCGTGCAGCCCTGGGCAAGGCTCTTGACATCTCTGGGTCCCAGATCTCAGGGCAAAGCTGGCCACTGACACCAGAGGGGCTCTGACTCACCACGTTCAGGTGGAAGCTCTCTTCCACCCAGGCCTTGGCCTCCTGGAACTCCTCCTTCAGCTCCATGAGGTAGAGGGTATCGAGGGAATCAATGACAGTTGCCCCTCTGAGGCCACCTGCAGGCACAGGAAATAGATCAAAGGTGTGACCTAGGATCATTCATACCCCATCAGCGCTACAGACAAGCCATCATGCTCCAGGACCCTCAGAATGCCTGGGCAGGCTCCAAGGTACCATCCAGTGCAAGGTGAGGGGGACCCAGTGCCCTCTTCCCCGCAGGCTGCAAAGGTGGGAATGAGGGACCCGGTGCCAACAGAGTCAGCCCCCAGTAGACTCTGGTCTACTCGATGGGCAGAAATCACTTCACCCCCCCGGGCACGCATTTTCCTCTGTGCAGCAGACTAAAGTCCCAACCTATGCACCAGCACCCAGACAAGTTCATTCTGTTCCCCACTTGACTGTGGGAGAAAATAAAGGTGTTTGTAAAAACTTTCACGGGAAGGTATTTGCTGCAGCACTGAATACTGTAGGGGGGAAAGTAGTGGGGAGAACCCCCCAACATCTACAGTAAAGGCTTAGTTACGTAAATTGTTGCAGAGACATAAAACAGGACGCTAGGTAGCCACCCACACAGGCGAGGCAGAGAAGTGTTTATTTGCTTGGGGAGATAGTCCTGGGACCCATTAAAGAATAAAAAAAGGGGGCACAGTATAATTTCTTTGTTGTGTGACGGCACCGAGCCTGGAAGGGCGATTTCTATTGGCGGTCTCTGAGGGCTGAGAATACAGGTGCTTTTTAGTTCTTCAGCTCTGCGGCTATTTTTATAGCCAGAAACTTATTTCCATGAAAATGGAGGACATTTGGGGTAAAGAAGCCAAACAAATGCACAAACCAATGACACTGTTATGGCCACTGCCACTCGAGGTTAGCACTGTACAAAGGAGAAGCCACACATCTGTCCCTGTCACTGGACGTCAGATTCTGGTCCTGAGAGTAAAGGCCGAAATCGTTGTGCAAAATGGTATCTTCCACAGTGAGTGAGGCAGGAGAATGCGGGAGTCCTGGTTTGGCACAGGAAGAGCCTGGAGTGCCTGGGGCCAGCTGGGGGGCTTCCTGGAAGAGGCGGCTGCTTCTCCCTAAGGCTTTACCACTAGTGTCACTGCAGGCAGCAGCAGTTTCCTTTTCAGTGGAGGACAGTGGTCCCTCCGCACTGTTAGATGGATTGGTTCCAGACCTCGGGGATGCCAAGATCTGCAGATGCTTGTGACCCTTATATAAAACGGCATCACAGTTGCATGTAATCTGTGTGTATCCTCCATGTACTTTAAACCGTCTCTAGATTATTTAATATACCAATTATGATGTAAATGCCACCTAAATAGTTGTTACGCTGTATTAACTGCAGAATAACAAGAAAACACTGAGGTTTTTTTTTCAAATATTTTTGATTTGTAGTTGGTTGAATCCGCTGTGTCACGTGGGGGTGCAGAGGACCCACTGCATAGCCAGCCCTAAGAGGAAGTGCTGCCCCTTACCCTCGCAGAGGCTCAAAGTGTTGAGAGTCACAGGCTCTGCCCTCTGGAGTAGAAACTCTAGAGCTGCTGAGGGCCGCTGGGTGCCACTGAGTCTGGGCACTCCCTCATTCAGAGTTAGCATCCTGGCTCTTCAGTCAGGGGGTCCCTAGCTGATCACCTGTGTGGCTGTGTGGCCAAGCCAGGTCTGACAAAGGGCATGGCCTGCAGAACTGAGGAGAAGGAGTAGGACCATTGCCAGAGGGGGAGCTGGGCAGGGAGAGGGTGAGGGAGAGGAGGGCAGGGTAAGTCACACGCCTGGTTTAGGTACTAGGGCTGAGCTTCCAGAAAGTCAGCCCCTCCCATGCATAAGGACTGATAGGAAACACACCCCAAAACCAGACAGTGGCTCCTTTCCTGGTGTGTCCCAGCCCCCCGCCCTGTAGGTGTCAGGCTGGACACAGTTCCCAGGGAGGACTTTCCCCTGGCTCAGGCTGAGGACACGGATGGGCCTCTGAGGGGTGGAGAAGGCTGAGGCAAGCCCAGACCTTGGAGCCCTGGCCTGAAGCCTGCATCTAGTTCTGCTGCTGGCTCTCCTGTTACAATGCAGAGCTGCAGAACGTGATGATTTGAGGGCCCGGAGGGATTCTGCAGGTCTTTCATCTCACCAATTTGGGGCCCCCAGCAAGGCAATGGGATGTACCCAAAATTAGACTGCAGGAGGACTGGCCCACCCCAGCCAAGGGTAATGTGTTCCCCCGCACATGTGGCCTCTCAGTTCTGCACAATCTTGGATTTTTGACTGCATGCCGCACCCGAACTGATCAGTTACAGCTTGAGAACTCTCAGCTGCGTGTCCTCGAGGCGGCCCACAGTATCTGATTTCTGAATCCTGCCCTGGTCTGTGTTTTCAGCCCATGGGCCCTCTGTCCTCTGGGCCAGGCCAGCATGGCAGCCAGGGATCCTTGTGACCAGCTTGCCCCATGACATCTCTGGGGACACCCGATGCGGCCGGCTGAGAGGCAGCTCACTGAGGTTTGTTGGCAAGGTCTTGCCCCTGCTCTTGGCTCCTGGATGTGTCTCTTGGTTGCTCTCCACCTCTGTCCCTGCCCCCTCCCAGCACATGACTGGGCTGTAGTCCAGCAAGGCACTTACTGGAAAGCCTGTCATTTCGGGCCAGAGTCTACTCGGTGGCTAGGCCGGACAGCAGAGAAGTGTCTAACTCATATCCAGTCCTATCTGAAGCCCGGGGCAGCCCTCAGGTTAAAAGCTGCAATCCTTTAGCAAGCAGGCTTGCAACTTAGATCCAAAGCACAAATAGGCCTCAAAGGCAGGCGGGATCCTTCCCTGCGGCTGGGGCTGGGGCTGGGGCTGGGTTAGGTTCCCTGTTGGCCTACTGTCCCACCTCCAGGTTGGAACCTGTTCACAAAGACACCCCTGCCTACTTCCTTCCAGAGCCTGAAGCAGTGAAGTATGTTAGAACACAGGCTCAGGAATCAGAGAGCTTTGGGTTCAAACCCCAGCATGGACCAGCAACATATCTGCTCTGAGCATCGAAGCTCTCATCTGTAAAATGAGGTTAAGACTAGTAGGTTATGGCCCTGGGGAGCCAGGATGAATACATCACATGGAGGCCTGGCATAAACACATCTAACAAATAACTTGTACCTGCTTGGCACAGACTGAGCACTTGATAAATCAGTTCACTGTTCTTTCTGGGGCTCCTTGCCTCACCTTGGAACTGTAGTCTGGACAGGCACTGGGAAAAGACAACTAAGTAGCCAACTAAGGGTTGGCTTAACTAAGGGCCAACTTCTGGCCCTTCCCTTTGGAAGGGACGAGGATACTCTTGTCTTACTGTCCTGATCTTTGGTTACTGAACAACCCTTCTCCAGACTCATGCAGTTGGCAAGAGGCTGGCCTTGGTATAGGTAGACACAGATTCAAACCCTGGTTCCATTACATGTTAGCTGTAGCTGGGGCAACTCGGTTTAGCACTCTGAGTCCCATTTCCCTTCTGTACAAATGTGGATGACTGTGGACCCTCCTTATAAGGCCGCTGGGAAGGTTCAGTGGGCCAGTGGATGGACAGGAGCTGGCACAATAATGACCACTGACCCTGTCCTGATCCCCCTCTTAGCTTTATCTTCTGTACCCTGATGCATCACACACACTCTGAGTTTGCTTCCTGGAGTCCGTCAAGACCCTCCTTCCTAGGCCCTGAGAGCTGTGGTCACTCTGCTGAGACAGTGTCCCAGCACTGTCCTCTCCTGTTTTTCCTCACAGCCCATGTTATGTGAATCAGTTTGCCTGTATGCTATATATTCTCACATTCTCTATGGTCTAGATCACTTTCCAGTCCCTTACAGGTGCCCGTAAGTACTGGGGTGTAAGGGTCCTGTCCTGGTGGGAAGGTCTTTCTGGGGGGCTGCGGCTCATTCCCATTTCCCAGTGCCTGGATTATAAGCTTGGGGCCATGTATGTTTAAAGTAAATATTTCAAGTTGAACAAATTGACCTACTGCATGGGCATCAATAGTGGTCATGTCCAGGGCAAGATGAATATTCCTTTTAGTGTCAATCAACAAAGGCAGGCCAATCTTTGTAGCTGGGGCCAGCCTGGTCAGGGTGACCAAGTGCATCAAAACCTTTAGTTTGATGCTCCATGTCTATGATGGAAACCTGCTTCCTTGGGCTTCATAGCCAGGAACCACTTGCCAACCCCCAAAAATGTGGTTCGCACCTATTGTACTGACTCTGTCACGAAAAGATGAAGAGATTTTTAAACAATGTGACATTAGTAAAGAGAAATAGGTTGGGCTGGGCAACTCTCGCTCTGGGAAGAACATTTATAAGAGGGAAAAAAATCACCCACAGCATAACCTATTACCACAGTGTCCCTGGAGTCGCACACTAATGGCTGCATTTAATTTAATGATAGAATCCACAGAGACTTTTCTTAGTCTGTAAAGAAACAGCACGCATGTTTTTCTCAGCTTACGGAGAAACCAGTATGGCTGTGGCAAGGACTGTATTTTCAAAGATGGCGACCTTACCAGCTTTCACCCCAGGAAGGTCTTGTAACATGCTCCTCCCGTGCCTCCTAACATCTGGGCCAACCACGGGACTACCTGTGCCAAGAGAACAAAATAAAGGCCCAGACCTTAAGAAACTGGGAGCTTCCCCTTCCTGCCTCTTGGAGTCAGCCACCATGCTGTGAGGGAGACCAAGATGGCTCACCAGGACGTGCCAGGGGCTGCACTGTGGCTCGCAGGCCCATTGGAGGGTTGCATTAATTCCAGATATGTGGAGAGAAAAGCCTGCAGATGATTCTTGCCCCTAGCTATGGAGTCAGCCTCCAAACCTCTCAGCTGAGGCCCACATACTGAGTGAGGTTACAGGGACAAGCTGGACCACACATGCCCTTGCTGAATTCCTGACCCACTGAATCTAGGAGCATCATCAAATAATTGTTTTAAGCTATTAAGTTTTGGAGAAATCTGTTACACAGCAATAGTACCTGGAATGTTCTGCCACATGGATTCTTAGAAGATTAATTAAAGTGACATCCCTGCTGCCTCAAGGAATATTGTTTAAAGTCACATCATCTTGCATGACAAGGTCTTCTTGCTGTATAAAAGCCTTTTAGACACTGGGACCTCTCTATTTTTGGCCTGGGTTTTTTTGTTTCTGTTTTTTCTTTTTTTCCTCAGCAAGGGCATTTTCTAGAATTTTTCTGTTACTATTTCCTGGGTCGCACAAAGTTACACTAAAAGGCACTGTTTCCTGGCAAAGATTTCTGGAAGCCTCTAGAAGGAGCTGTTTTAAAGGAACTATTCCTGGAACCCAACAGAATATTCTTATTAGAGGGCTGATTAATCCAAGATGATTAGCTCTGATCACGGCATGTCTTGTTTCCTTCCACTCTTTATTCTATTTGCAAGTAATGCTCTGCCCACAGCAAACCACTAGCACATAGCCTCCGGGACTCTCCAGGGCATCTACTGATGCAGGTCCCTCCACCTGGGCTGTCTCTGTGACGGTGTGAATGTGTCCCCAGACTTCACATGTGGGAAACTCCCAATGCAACAGTGTGGACAGGGAGGACCTTTGAGAAGTGACAAGGTCCCGAGGGCCCTGTCCTCACTGTGGATTAATACTGTGTCTCAGGAGGGAGCCACTATTATAGGAGTGGATTTCTGTTGAAAGGATGGTTTGGCTTCTTGCCTCTCTCTTGTCTCACCTTCTCTGGCCCTTCGTCCTTCTGCCACAGGGTGACTCAAAAGAAGCCCTTTCCACATCAGCCCCTCAAATCCTGACTTCCCAGCCTCCGGAACTAGAAGCTGCATCAATTTCTGTTCATTGTAAATTATGCAGTTTTAAGCAGCATCCAGACTGAGACACGCCCTTCTCAGCTTCGGCTTGGTCAGCACCTTCTTGACCCTCTGGCCTCCCACTCTCCAAGGCCCTCCTGAGCCTCAGCGCACCTGACTGCTTCCTGCCCTAAGGCTCACCTGCTCTGATCTGTGGTGTTCCCTGCAGCCCCGCTCAGGCACTATCGCACATCTTTGCTGTGAATCCCCGGAGCAGGGGCTGGGCTGGCTCTTCCCAGCGGCCCAGTGTCATCCCCAAGTGAGGCACCAAGAAGGTGGGAACCAGTGGATGCTGAGTGAGTGAAGCCCTGACAGCACTTTCCTGGGGCATCTGCAAATGGGTGACAAGTACTCAGTTCTCTAAGAGAAAACGCCACACACAGCAGAAGCCAGCCATTAGGAAATCACTATGGAGTGACAGACTGGGCTGCCATGGACAGCAGTGGAACTAATGGCTTCCTCCACCCTCAGCAAACAGATGCGGTGCTTTACTGCCACAGTGGCTGGAGGCTGCTTGCTGTGGCCAACCGCTGGATGACGGTCACTGCCACAAATGGCTGGACCTGGCGCATGGAGTGGTCTGCGGGCCATGTTCCTCACTGAAAAACAGGGTGTGCTTACAACATGTTGATGTTTTATTTGTTAATTTTTAAACAAGAGCTACGGGGCTGTCTGACCTGGAAACCTGTGTTTAAAACCATCTGTGCTGCAAAACAAGCTCTTAATTGCTTTCATCTCAAAACATGTTAGAGAGAAGGGAAAGGTAAGTGAAGACACAGCCTCAGAACTGTGATGAGGCCTCCTCTGTCCCAGCAGGCAGAGCTGTGGCCAGAAGCCACCTTCCAGGTCTATGCAGGCAGCCTTGCTAGGAGAAAGAGCATGGGCTGAGAGCCAAACAGACCAGGGTTCCAACCCTACCTTTGTCCCTTCTCGGCTGTGTGATTTTGGGTAACTGACTTGCCTGAGTCTTATGAACTGGGACAATGAAGGCTCCCTTTTAGAATGGAATGATGGTGAGCTCAGATGGACATGGCTCAGGCACCACTCAGCATGCAGCAGGAACTCAATCCAAGAGAACACATACGGCACTCCTAGCACACAGTCGGTGCTCAGTGTGTGAGGGTGTTACAGAGAAGACCATGCGCACTGGGAGGCCTGGCTCAGCAGGAAGGATGGCACTGCTTTCATGCCAGGCAGGGCTGGGCTGGGGCAGGGGAGCTCTGGGGTTTCAACCACCCAGTGTGAGTACAGCACCTTTCTGCCTCAGTGGAGAGAAGGGTAGACATTAGAAGCCTTGTCCCCACAAAGCCAGCTGTTGCTCTGGGAAGTTCCCAATGAGAGTCCTGGAGGGCCTGCACATGCTGGCCTCTGCCTGCTTGCATCATTCTGATATTGTTAGGTGACTCTTCCCTCACTGCTTCTGTCTCCTCAGAAAGGCCAAGTATCCTTGGCCCATCAACTTTGGTTTTGTCCCTGTAATCTGCTTGGCTCCAGGGTAGGTGGAAGATTAAACTCTGCCCTGGCTTTGAGGATTGTCTATGACTTGGCAGCAATTTGTGGACATGACTAGGGCAGTGGGTTGATGTGCTTGCAAAGCCAGGTTGGCTCTTTATGCACCTGCCTTTCACCAGGAGAATGCTCAGACAGCTACTGGTCCAGCAAGGATAACAATTATGTGGGTAGCCTAGATAACCAAAGCCTAGCTGATTAGCAGTCACAATGAACACTCCTATTGACTGTCATTCATGGTGCAACCATTTGTTACACAGCATTATCATGGAAGTGGCTGATACAATGCATGAATAGCTCTATTAGTTATGAGTATTTTCACATGCTCCACTAATATCATACTTTCATGTAGTCCACTCTCCAGCACTCAAACTGCCCCTCAGAATGACCTCAATTCAGCAAAATGTCCCACATGCAACCCAATCCAGTGTCTACTTTAAGTTCTAGATAAAATGCTGTTTCTTTCATGAAAGTCTCCCTTGATTCCCCGACATAGACCTAATGCTTCCCTCCTCAGAACTTTTTGATCAAAGGCATTTTTTCAACTTCTATTACAATAATTTATAACTTATATTACAATAATACAATAACAGATGGGCTTTTTTCAAGTCCATTCCCAGCAGACAGTGTCCTCAGGACTGGATTGAGGCTGACATGGGCAGTGTACAGTCAAAGCATTGTTGGGATGCCTCTAGGTGATCCCTGCATGGTATAGGTACTGGAAACCAGAGACCAACTCTGAGATGCTGCAAAACCCAAAAAAGGCTTGCTTGTGGAGTGTGGGATTGGTCTGGATTCCACCCCCAACCCTGGCCTTGTTAGAGGTTGGCAATGACCATGCACTTGCTCTGGGCATCATGAGGTTACACACATCTCTTTCAAAGCTCGTGACAACTTTACCATTGCTCCTCTTTTACAGATGAAGCCTGAAGCTTCAAGAATTAAGTCAATTACTCAGGAGTCATTCACTTACCCATGTGTATTTTTGGATGCTGGGGTTGTCTTTGGCAACGGAGCGCAGTGGAGAGAAAAGCTCAGCACCCCCCAGGTTTGTGGTTGGGGAAAGAGACACCATGGAGATAACTAATGGTGCATTGCATTGGCAGGTGACAGGCTCGCACCCTAGGGGCTCAAGTTTGACTGAGGGCCATGGTCAGTAGGGGGTTGTGTTCATCTATCAGAGGCCTAGGGGATGCATACTGTAGGTGGGTACAGCCTGGCAGATGGAAGGCACAGCCAGTAAAGAAGCCCAAGGTAGAGGTCTTGATGTCTTCACAGAGCTAAAAGGGGCCATCGGCAGTGAGAAAAAGAGAAACAGCAGCACTTCAGAGACTTAGAGACCGGATCTGACCTGAAGCTGTGTGAATGGTGAGGACAGGGACTCAGGCAGGCCCCATGGGCATCTGGTGAGTGCCCAGTCCTCTTATGGATGGGGAGGAGCAGCAAGACCTGTGTCTTGAGATCCTCTCCAAGGCAGCTGGATGCGCTCCATAGCAGGGGGCAGGAATGAAGAGAATTCAGCTGCAGAGAATTCAGCCAGTTGCTAGCTCAGCCCCGGTGGGGAGCCCAGCTGCCTCCTGGGCCCAGGGTTGAGTTGAAATGCAATCGTAGGTATACATTACAGCCGAGCTGTGCATTGATCCTGGCAAACTTGGCCTGTGGGCCAGAGCCAAGCGACACAGGTGCAGGGCTCTGATAATCAGTGAAAGGTAACTAATGGAAGGCAATCGGAGAGACCCCATTCACCCCGAGAAACATGAAGAGGTGGCAGAGGTAGTGCTGGGAGGGCGTCATATGTAGCTGAGTCCCTGGTGTCCTTCCTGTCACCACGATGATGGAGTGGCAGGGAATGGGTCAAGAGAAAGCACCAAACCCTGAAGTCACAAAGATCTGTTTGAATCCACCACTTATTTGCTCCTCAGTTTCCTCACCTGTATAATGATGTAGTGGATTGAAAACTGATGGTCAATTTAAACACCAGCTGAACTGCATCAGAGTGGTGCTGAGATGGTCCACCTGAGGATTGTTGCAAAGGCGACCTGGAGAGGAAGAGTAGTGCTGTGGGTTCTCCTAAGTGTTGCTGTTGTTTGGAGCTGTTGGTTCTCCTGGAGGAGCTTGCTGGGCTTCCCTGATATGAACTCAGCTGTTATCATCAGAGCTGCTCAGGACCTTGTTGCTGAGAATGGCAGCCATTCATTTTGGGGGAGCTCTGCTCCTTACTTTGAGCTTGCTTCCTGGCTCCAGAGGGG